CACATAGAACGGATCAAGGAAGATTAGATCAAACCAAATCAGAATTGACAGTTTCAAGGTACACATAGAACAAACATGTATTAGATCAGTTAAAGGAATTTGCATTATCAACCAATGTTATAATCGACTAAATAATTGATTTCTGTTAGTTACGGAGTATAATCGACTAAATAAGCAATTTCCGTTAGTTATATAGTAAGATAAAAAAACATTTTATGCCGTGCACGGCACGAGTAAAGATACCAGTGATATATACGATGGATAAAGGGATGCATTTCTAAAAAAACAGGTGCTTTTTTTGTTCTTTTCCTCGTTTCTTGGTCAACTTCTCGACTAATTCAGAAATTGCTCTTGTTTTAAGTTATGAGAGAATATTCTACATGCTCCAAAGTGTATGAGAGAACGGATTATTTTCATCCTATGTTTGATAATCAGGGTGCTATTATTGCACTGAAAATTTTGGATCGGTATTTAGGGTTTCATGCCAAAGTATCGAAGGGTGCGCAGAAGCTCGCAGCTCATCCCTCCATAGTTGGGACTTAGGTACATAAATTGATGGGTTTAAATCTGAATATACCAAAGCTAGTAGTTTGGTTGCTACTTGCTAATGCCAGTAGTAGTTCGATGCCTTCATTTGATTACACATGATAGGAGTAATGTACTAAGATGCAAACTCGGGAATGTTTAATTTCTTTAAGGTTTAAATATGGTGTTAGTCCTTGCAAATATGACACACTTTGTTTTAGGTCATATTTGTTTTTGCAAGATATTTTTGTTTTTGTTTTTCATCCTTGTAATATGCGCTATTTTAGTTTTAGTCCATCTCTAACTCCGAAACAACTCTACTTAGATTTTTTTATTGTCGGTTGCATAAATCTACTAGAAACATTTACATTATAAGTTTATAATATTTTTAGGCTAATAAGAGAGTTTTAAAACAATATTAAAACTAATTATTCACATTTGAAAAATATGTATTAAAAACCTTTTTAAAAATGAAATTAAATACTTTTTGAATGGCATGACAAAGAATTAAAGGATACCTATTAGTCGGGATTGTTTCTTTGTCATTAGTTATCATTAGTTATGGATTAAAAAGAAAACGAACATAAATTTCAGCGATGAAAAACAAAGAAAATATTTTGAAGGACCTAATAAAACAAAGTGTGCTAAATTTGCAGGGACTAAACACGTATTTAAACCTTTCTTTAATTGAGAGCACCCTGAGGGGATTGATGAAATCAACAATGGAGCAGAAACTAGTGGCTGAAATCCCACAAAACTACAATAGCTATGAAGTATATAGAAGGTAGTGGTTTGTAAAGGATGCAAACCAAATTGTAAAATTTCTGATGGTTAACTCGAGAATGATGCTATAAGGTGAGATTTTACATGTTGTGTATTTTAATTTCCTGTTTTAAATGGTTCAAAATTCTCTATTGAGATATACTTTGTTGAAACAAAAGAAGATATATTTGGTATAATCTGAATATTCCTGTATCCCATCTGAACATGGGATATTGAGGGAGAGTCTTTACTTTCCCTGCTCTTACCTTATTTTTCTAATTTTCGACATCTTGGCTCCTATTGTTGCAAGATCTGCTTGACATATGTTTTGGTACTTTAACTTTGTCTATATGGCCATATGGGGGTAGTTCTTTATAACCTATTTGTTTTGTTGGGTTCATGGCAGTCACTGGTTCTTTTGTTGATGTGGCAGAAGGGCTCTTGAAGGGTTGACTGATCATGGTTGAAGGTCCAAGGGAGATTTCCCAAAATAAGAGTAAAAACGATGTGAAATTCTAATACAGTAGTACTATGTTTTCCACTCCAAGTAGGATTAAATTACTAACATCCTAAAATTGTACTTCAATACTTTGACATTACCAGACATTAATATGACTGTTTTAATGTCATAATTGACATTATTTTTCAAACATGATAGTAATTAACCATTTTAGGCAATTTCTGAAGGGCCAAATGTCCAATACATTTGAAATACATATGCATGTATGTTTAGTGACCATTATTCAAAATCATTACATTTGCATTTGTTTGATGTTAAACATTGTTGAAGAATAGAAATAGTAATATAGTTGTAGGAGTATTAAAGTTTCACGCTCCTATTAGGTTTAAGGTTTGGTTTCCCATTTGTGCCGAGTTCAGGTCCATTTATCTCCATATAAGCATTGCAGGTCTAGAGATTATGAAGTTGCAAATTCATCATATAAGAGCAGTACTTAATTCAACATGTTAGAGATACTGCTAACAGGGTCATACATACACTCATACATTAAGTTCTCTTGCAAAATAACTGAAAATGTAAAAAATGCATGTTGCTGTTGCTATAGGACTTGTGCAGAAATCATGATTCTTTCACACACCATCTTCCTCCAGGTATGTCTACACCAATGGAACAAGGTTCACTCGATATTACTCAGCAGGCTGCAAAGAAACTCAAGCGGCCTGCAGGATCTATTACCTATGCAGCTGCTAGAGAGTCACAGACTGTACCGGAGTTTAGGGTGAAGAAGGGTGTTGTTTTAGCAGTGGACCCCGAATATATCCGTCACCTCGTGGAGATTAAAGTGCTTGGATTCCAGCGCCCTTTAGGCTCAAAGCCGCAGCTTCTTACTTACGAGGTTAATGCTGAAGAACTTAGGCGTTGCTTTAATGGTTGTATGTTTGCTGCCTTGCGTGTTCGTTTCTTCTCCAGTGCCGCTTATGAGACCCAAACTGAGTCTGCAATCCTAGCACTGGCTACTGAGATTACCAAATTGACAACAGATGTGTGCATGGCTGCTATTTATGCTAAGCTCCACAACATCCATAAATCATTCGAAAGATATGAAAGCCGTTATGCTAGCGACCCGTGCTATACCGATGATGTACCCCTCCCCCTACCCTTTGCAATGGCGGTTCAAGATTTCGGTGTTTTCGAGACACACAGCATGGTGACCAATCTTATTCTTGCACCAACTTACCCAGAGGGTCTACAACATGAAGGCCGTAGTCAACTAACTTATTGTTCTGCTGAGTACTTATCCTTCATCCCAACCCTTAAAGAGCTCGGGTTTCCTTTGAAGCCTATTGATCCTCATGTGACAGCAGGATTTCCTTGGTGGACTTATAAAGTTAAAAACATCTACGGCACATGCGATTTGGCTTGTATTTTGCCTCCATCTCACTATTCTGAACTCAGTGCCATACTTCGAACTGTGCTGTTAGTTCCCGATCACGATGGTCTTTGCTGCCAAATCGTCAAGATTCCGGATGATTGTGCGGACTACGGAACTAGAATGAAAGAGGTGGTGCCAGGTTTCTACCTCCGTTCCTTTCTAGCATTGAGCCATGGTCCTGAAGAAGAATGGAGTTTTTGAGCGGTTTTGAATTGACTCTTATTGCTCAGCTGACTGTTTTGGAAGTTTGTTATTAGCTTATAGACATTTGTTATGAGTGTTCACTTTTCAGCCTGACTTTACCACTATAAGTTAAATTATGTCTTATTGGCATGGCTATGTCCACATTCTCATACACTGATAGACCTGAACTTACAATCACACTAATATGTACTGGAAAAATTTTTATCGGTACATGAAAGTACGGGTGCATCTAGGGGTTGCCACGGTCTCAGCGTCATGGCATTGATTGGAACTGTCTAATTTTTTAACTGGGTCCTGGACTGGCTGGCCAGAACTGTAATGGGGGAGGGACTGAGGGAGTTGTGTAACTTGTGTTACCCTCTCTCAGGGACCAGTCCCCAATGACTATTTTGTTTTTGCAATTCTTCTTTAATACTTGTAATAAATATCCTTAAATTAGCGGTGTAGGATTTTAACAGTTGTCAATGTCCATCTCATGAAGTTCCCATTGAATTGGTTAGATGCTGCCACCTCCATAATACTCGACCTGTAAGTCTGTAACCATTTCCGCAATAGGGCTCTTAGCTTGATGGTTGTCACAAACAACGAGATGATCCAGCTCTTAAACCGGTTCATAGAGAAGAGAACCGCTTTAAACCCCAAAAGTCCAAAACCCCAAATTACACGGAATGCTTTCCCTGTAGGCAAGGTACGTGGTAATTAATTAAGAGACCACCTCCCAATTCCCATTGTATTAAGTGCATCAATCTCTCTTTGCATTGCTTCCTTCGTGAATCTTGAACTCCATGACAATAGAAAGAATGCACTTCTCAAAAAAATTGCAGACAAAATATACTAGATTTTTAATAGAAAATATCAAACTTCAAAGGCGAAATTGACACTAATAATCCTTACGTTTACACATTTTACAAAAATAGTCCTTATCGAAAAATTTCGCAACAATAATCTCAACTAGTTAACTGTTTCACAAAAATAAACCGCGAGTTAAGAGTGTTAACTTTTCCGTTTAGTTTTTTTGGCAAAATTGACGCCAATAATCCTTACTTTTACGTATTTTACAAAAAACTAAACGTAAAAGTTATACTAGAACTTTTTGTGATTATTACTGTGAAATTTTCTGAGTCTGTTTTTGTAAAATACATAAAAGTACGTAGGTACTATTGGTGCTAATTTCACCAAAAAAGTAATCGCAAAAGTTAGCACTGTTAACCCAAGTTTATTTTTGTAAAACAGTTAACTAGTTGGGATTATTGTTTTAAATTTTCCAATAAGGATTATTTTTTGTAAAGTATGAAAAAATAGAGATTATTCATGTCAATTTTACCCCTATAAAATTTCAATTCTTTAAGAAAGTGTGTAGTATTTTTCTCATTATCTCCCCTGCTCATTCACGAGTGGAGCGGATGAGAGTCTCAATTAAGTACCACGCATGGAGTAGTGGGTACGTACCTCACATTCTGAATGACCCAATTAATTCAATCTCCCATTACACATATAATAATAATTTAATAAATGTGTACGTGTGTGTATATTGTATACATTTATACTTTTACGGCATGAATTACTGAATTTAATTCAAGCATGGAGAATATTATATTACTGAATATATGGAGAAAGGGGTATTGAAGTCATTTGAGAGAATAAAGAAGATATCAGAAACAGCCGATATTGAATATAGGCATTAAAAGCAGCAAACTTTTATCAGTGCCACACACTTTGAATTGCTTTTTAACTTTGCTTTTGTTCAAGCTGTACTGTAACAGGCCGGCCATCCAGCAGCAGGTAGGTAAATGCATCTATCCATCTCCTGCCCTTACAGATCCTTTCCTTAGCTTTGTATATTAGTATCACAACTCTCATTCTATTTCCCCCTCTTCTCCCTCTGCTTTAGAAAAAGAAAAAAAGGATGCAATGTTCAAAAGAAGCAATTGCAAGGCTGTTCTACAATGCCTCAGCCTCATTTCAACTTTTCATGCTCTTCTCATATCTCTCCTTTATTCTTCTTGTTACCATCCTTCACTTTCTTGGTGGTGACCTGTTTTATGGAAGGTATGAATTTTTCAATTCTATATAATGAAAAATAATGTTTTCTTTAATGAATCACTGAATCAGTTGTTTGCATGTTATATACTTTTACTGCAGGGCTGCATATGATGAGTTCATTGACACATACTCTGATGATGAAGAAAAAGTAGTGGAAGATGAAGTTGAGTATGATGAATACTACCATGGTACCCCTGTTAGTGTGTCATCAAGACAACATCATCATATCCAGAATCATCATCTGCAACATAGTAGAAGCTTCCAAGATTGTCATGATGATGATGATGGTGATGATGATGATGTGGCTCCCAAAGAAGAGGGAGATGATGAAGTAGTAGAGGAAATCAAAAGTGTTGTCAATGAAGAACCACCCTGCAGCATTTGGACCTCATCATCAACATCAGCCATGGAGACTAATGTTACTAGCCATGGAGAAGTGGCTGATGATGAAGAGAATATTCCAAGTAGGGACAATCATATTGGTTATTCTAAAACAAGTGTTCACCGCCTGGACATGTCACGTGAGAATAATAAAGCTCGTATAGGTAGGTATTTGTTCAAACATATTTTTTTACATTTAATTTTTCTCAATTTCATGTTAACCCATCTAATAATTTTGTTAAAAACCAGAGAAATTTGTAGTCATATAAAATCAGTATTTCTAATTGAATTTTCATAAATAGTACCTATATTGCCGATAAGTCATTTTGTTATTTTAAATAGTGACTCATATTTTAATCACAATACCTACTATGCTACTCCATGCACTAATAAGTGAGGATATCATATCTAAGACGCAAACTAATGTAGCGGAGTAAAGATCTCCTGAGGCACGTCTGACTGGGAGTCCCGTCCTGCCAAACCCGTTTGAGAGGTTTTCAAGTGATTTTTTTAATGAAATTTAGTGAGCATATTCTTCATGAAATGTAGATTATTTGCACAAAATTTAAGTTTAAACTTTAATTGCGAAGTCAGTGCAATAAATTATTGAAAACAAATGGCTTTCAATATACAATAAAGCACAACATTTTTAAATATTTTATTTAACTTTTTTTCGAATTAGATTTTAAGTTGAAATTTCGTGAAGATAATCTACATTTCACGAAGAACATGCTTACAAAATTTAATCAAAAAATTCCACATAAAAGCCCATCAAACGAACCTGTCTGGGCCGATGGGAGTACGGGACTCCCGGTCAATCCGGACTGATGAAATAAATTCTCAATTTACAATACCACAACAATACTCTATAATTTGCCTTGAATTACACATATTATTTGAGAGTGCATGTGAAATTTGGGCTACTAAATTTACAAATAGAAGCAAAAATACCTCTATTGAATTAAAAAACAACCGTTTTATGTTTTAGATAATTTTCCCAAAGAGATGATGAGAAAAGAAAAGAGAGTGGAGGCAAATGGTATGATTCAACCAGTGGAGGAGAAGTTGTTGCACGCGCCACCACCCAAGGTGGAGAGCAAGAGGTTGCACTTTCGAGAAGAAGAAAAAAACGAAGAAGATATATTCGGAGATTCCTGCACCGTTGGATCCACTTCAAAGAGCTCGTCGGAATGGAGAAGCTCCATCAAGGATTCCTGCACCGAAGATCCATTTTCTTCATCTTCCAGAAGAAGTTGCCCCAAGTGGGAGTCATATACTCTTTTCCAAAAGTATGACGAAGAAATGCTGTTTTTGGACAGAATTAGTGCTCAAAAACTCCGTGAAACAGGTGCCAACCATTTCAATACTGCTAATTATTTTTTCACTTTAACATATTTTTATTATCGTAAAATGTGAGTATGTGACTCCCTATTTATTCTCAATGTTATTGTTACGATAGTTCATTTTATAGTCCATACTTCCATTAGAAGGCAATACTCATATGCTACAAGTTGGGGAGGATCAACGGCTGAAGCAAAATCTTGGGGCAGTGTAAAAAATGTATATAAATATATATTTTAAATTTTGGGGTAAATGTACTTAGAAAAAGAATTGATGGGGCGGCGGCCCCCATTCGCCTTGCCTGTGTCTGCCGCTGGGGGGTCTAATCTACCATAGGATTACATTGGGCTGAAATCTAAAACAATACATTGATTTCTTCAAATTTTTAGTGTAATTTTTCTTCATATTTCATACTTAAAGCAAACACTCTGCTAATATTTGAACCTATTATAATAATTTGTGTTCAAGTTTTGAACTTAAGTTACCACAACACTACGTTGTAGTAATGAATAGTCATATTTATGTAAATAGGTTTTATTTAAGTAATATTCTTGTAAAAAACCCTTATAATTACTCTTCAGTAAGTCCAACCTAAATTCATGAATTTGACATTGGCTAAAAGATAAGAGTTTGTTTTGCACAACTAATTGAAAAAAATATTTATGTGCTTTATAATAAGTGTTAGCTTTAAAGGATTGAAAAGATTTCAAAAGCATAAAATATTAGTTGTTTGATAAGAAACTGACTGTTTGATGTAGTTATGTTTGATATACAAGCTGTTGGGAGTAATTAATACTAAAAGTTATGAACTTTTTTGAAAAAAAAAAAGTTCTCTTTTTTAAATGCAAATGAGAGTGGGGTTCCATCTAAAGTCATTGCTTGAAGTTGAATCTGAGACTTCTCTTTTGTGGCGCCCCCATCCTACCAAGTGAGCTACGCCCCTGGTCTACAGACTTTTTTGAGATGTTACTCACTGTAGCATCTAAAGAAATCTTAAAAAAAACTCTTACAAATTAGCATGTCAAACACACACCTGGAAAATTTTAAAAACTTTTTAAATAGTACAGAAGCTAGAAGATAGTGATTTGTGTCTGCCAAACATGCCCGCAATATTTGTATCCTCATTTTACCTTTGATTACTCGCCACTCGTGCTTACATATCACATATCTTCAAAATGAGTGTTATCCTATTATTTTGTCACATTATTAGACCCAATTTCTACAAAATGCTAATTACTGTAGTCTTGAGGTATATATAAAGGTAAGATAAGATAATGAATTCAATTTATTATCTTGTCTCATTTTGATTTTTGACCACAAATAGTCGGAATACACAATGAAGATTACTTGCTTTGATTTCTTCTTTGCTGCTTGGTATCATTTTGAGTGGATATATCTAGGGTCACATTGGTCAAATGCATAAAGTAATGTTGAGAGTGGGCAGTGTGACAATCTTATTCCACTTATATACAGATTATAAAACTTTAACTTTATACCATAAAATATAAGAGATGATATGTTGAGATCTACTCGCACTAGCTACCTGCAAAATATTTGAATAAAGTTTGCTTGATACTCCCCATTCCTTACTGATTACGTAACCAACTTGCTTCTACCTTTTCTTTTTGAGTGTTACCTTATGGTTGGTTTGGTTGGGAAAATCTCGTAAACACAAACCATTCATCTAAAAAATGTAAAATTGTTCTAGCTCTGTTTACATAAACAAATGTGCGAAACGTGTAGTAAACTGGCTTTTAAATTTATTAATGAAGATAAATTGGTAAAATAGATATGCCGTTTATAGTTCCTTATAAGTACTGTATTATATTGCGCAACACTAATCAATTTTGAACATTTGCAAAATAGGGGTTTCTTCTTTTATAGCTCCTTATAAGTATTATATGTATTATTGCGTAACACTAATCAATTTTGAAGAAAAAAAAGTTTTTTTTATCATCAACTAACCACTTGTATTAATTAATGAAATCATTAGCCAAATGGCTTACAATACAGTTCGGAGCAACATAAAAAACACTCCTGTGATCTGAGAGTAAGGATGTTTTTACTTGGACTGTAATTTGCTGGTCTGGTCTGATCTGGTCTGGTCTGAACTGGTCTGGTCTGGTAAGGTCTGGTTTCTTTGTATTTTTATAACTATCCAAGTCTGGTCTGGTCTGGGACAAATTACAGTCCAAGTAAAAACATCCTAAAACATGCGCTCTAGCCAGAGAATGAGCTACACGATTCGCAGATCGTTTACAAAAAGAGACTCTATAATTACTCTTTGTTAAAAGGATTTCCTTAATATCTTCCAAAATTAAATCAATGTAAGAAAAACCACCTCCTTGTCGAAGAAAATAAAAGTTAAGGAGGGTGAACATTTGAATATTTAATTAAAGTATGATAATTTTATGAATGTATTACATATATACTCCCTCTGTCCCGGAAACAAGTTCTCATTTTCCTTATTCGGATGTCCCAAAATAAACTTCTCATTTTCTTATTTGACAAATTATTTACATCAAAACAGTGCAAAACAGTGTCAAACAATGCCGAAACAGTAAAATTTATCTCTCAATAATTTATTTCCTAAAAATGTGTGAAAGTCAATCCAGAAACTTGTTTCCGGGACGGAGGTAGTAAAAAAAATTGAAGTTCCAAGAGGCGGTCATCTACCGTCCCCCTAAATTCGTCCCTAGATCTTTGCACTCAATTACGACCTTTTCCCACTCATACATGTTTAATAAATTGCTCAAAATAGGAGTAAAATGTGGAATGTTTTCAAAAATAGAACCGATTATGTTTAACTGCTAAAATGGGAATATTAATAAAATGAAACTTTCTAAATTAGAAGTTAATGATTCTTCTTTTGGAAGAAAATAATGACAACCTTTTTGAGGTAATTTTTTATATTTTATTTTTATTTATGAAATTTTGGTAATCAAATTAAAGGTAATTAATTCATACTCAGCGTATGGAGTGCAGAGTACTACTTTATTGCTTTGATCATTTTAGAAGAAAAGTTGCGGTAAAAAGTTAAAAACCACATGGGCAAAACTGCAAATGAATACTCCCTCCGTCCCTAAATTTACTTTCAACTTCCCCTATTCGTCCGTCCCAAAAAGAATTTCACTTTCCCTTTTCGACAAATAATTTGTGGTTCACAACATTTCTCTCTCCTCTGCTCAACTCTCCACCATACAATTCTCACTTTCTTAATCTGCGTGCCACTTTACATAACATTTAGGGACAGAGGTAGTAATAGTTTTTTGTTCTTTTTTTTTTTCCCACCAGAATCGCTTAGGTTAAGACTACAATCAAATAATCCAAGATCAGTATCAGATAGGATTGTACATAAGTTTAGACGAAAAAAACGGGGACCGTTGGATCCATACAATGATCTAGAAGCAGCTTACGTGGCACAAATATGCTTGACATGGGAAGCTCTGAATTGGAATTACAAGCAACTCCAGCGCCTACTGGATTTGCGGCGGCGGCGGCGGCCGGCGAATGAACCGGAAGACCGGGGCTGCCCTGCCTACGTTGCTCAGCAATTTCAGCAGTTTCAGGTTCTTCTCCAGAGGTACATAGAGAATGAACCATTTGAACATGGAAGGAGGCCTGAGGTTTATGCTAGGGTGAGGGGCTCATCCCCAAAGTTACTCCAAGTGCCTGAATATAGAGGTATACTATTACCAATGCTCTAATTTCAGTTTTGAATAGCTCTCATTTGAAATAGAGTAAAAGTTTCTAAATTTGAAAACTGTTGCTGAATAGAGTAGGGGGCTGAGATTCGGTGTTAGGCGGTGGTGATCGCCTGTGGTGGTTAATGACGGTGGCCGGAGGTAATCATTATGAGAACCTATAAATGGTCGAACCCAATAATGGTAATTGATCCGGTTGGATAACTATAAAGTCTATAATAACTAGTCAAATTGGTAATTGTAAGTGGGACTCGTGACTGGTGGATCAGGTAACTATAATTGACGGGCCGGGTAATTGTAACTGGCGGATTGGGTAATTGTAACTGACCGGTCTGGTAACTGTAATTGGTGAGTTAGATAATTATAATTGGCATATCTGACAACTGTATCTGACCTATCGAGTAACTGTAAATAGCGGGGTAGGGTCAAATAAATGTAACTCGCATAGTAGCCCCCATACCCATTTTTAGTCTCGTTTTTGAAAATTAAAAGGAAAGATTACTTTTTGACATTTATTCATGAATATTACTAAATTAAATTCAAAAGACAAAATTATTACATATAACTTATTTTCAAATTTTTCAAAAAGTGACATATTGAGTGACTAGTTTTCAGTGAGTCATCATCTAATAGTGACTTGTCATTATGAAATTCAAGTACATTATAATGTCTCTTGTCCAGTTACTCGTTCACACTGACTAGTCATTTTTGTCCAAAAACATGAGACTTTTTTCCATGAATATTACGGAGTACTAAATTAAATTTAAAAGACAAAAATGTAACTTATTTTAAAATTTTCTGAAAAAGTGACATATTCAGTGACTAATCATCTACAAGTGACTTGTGTTACTCTGAAATACATTATAGTGACTTGTCCAGTTACGCATACACTGTGACTGGTCATATTTTCGTCCAAATATATAACTAGTCATATTTTTGTCTCGAAAACTCTGTTAGTAATATTCATGTCATTTTTCGAAACATAATTAGTCATATTTGTGTCCGGGAAACCTCTACTAATAATATACACGTTTTTTTCTTGTTTTTGTATCCAATTGTTATTTTTTAGTAATATTATTGACTTAATTCTTTCCTTTATGATTAGATACATATAAATTATTATAATCTAATTTGTTATTCTTATGTTAATATTCATGTATTTACTTGCGCACGTAAGATTCGGACGAGGAGAAAAGAGAAGAAGGATTTTGTTCCAGGATTCTTTCAGATTCATTCCTTCAAATAATGGAGGAATCAATCCGGACATTCATGAATTTTCTCAAAGCAGACAAGGAGGGCCATTATTGTCAAATGATAGCATCTTTTTTCAAGAAAAGCAAAAGCAGACCAGGCTCAGCTGATCCACTCCTTCTTTTGAACCTCCAAAAAGTAAACAAAAAAGTAAGTTAATGCATTCATACACCTGGGTGTATCAACTAATTTGAATTTACTATTACCTCCCTGATCTTTTTTGCAACATTAGATTTTGGCAAAAGTTTTGAAGCAAAAATAGTAGAAATAATGTAAAGTGATAAAACAGAAAAGAGATTCTAAATAAGTAGGTGATCCGTGATAGACAGGAAATGAAGATTAAATGAAAGAATTTTTGTGTATTTTGATGGATAAAAATTTTCAAAGGGAATTATTTTAAAGATTAAAATATTGTGCAAAAAAAAGAAGTATTGCAAACAAAAGAATAATGATATGCGTGTGTGGATGAGCATAGAATACAAGATTACAAGTCATCATATATTATTCATACTTAAATACTATTAAGTATTTTCTTAAGATATATATAAATGGTTATCGTTAGAGTTTTTTCTTAAAATATTATTGAAATATAATTTTTAAATAAATATATGATTAAAGTTATTATGCATATATATGTTGTTATTGCCACTTTTGTGTAGTTTTGAACATTCTTATCACTAAAGTATAAAAGTCGCATTTTATCCATTGTTTTTTAATGCGATCTCATATTTATCACTGTTTCTTATCAAAAATACTCTTTGTACACACTTTTTGGTGTACAACCGTACACACTATTACACATGTCTGCATAGGCGTTTTTGTTTGTTTGTTTGTACAGAAAAAAAATCCACACAAACATGTGTAAAAGTATGTACACCAAAAAGTGTCTACACCAAGTCCAACTCATTTCTTACATTGAACCAACATACTTTATATTTGGTATATAGAATACTAACAGGCGTTCTAATGATATGACTTGTAAAAATATGTAGAAAAAAAGAAAGCTGAAAGATATGAAGCAGACGGGGAAGTTGCACCTGAGAAAAATAAAGTTAAAACAGAAGGACGAAATGGAGATTTTGATGGCACAAATAGACTTGAAAGTTGTTTGTAGAGTTTTGAGAATGAAAGAGGTGAATGGGGATCAATTGCATTGGTGCAAGGAGAAGATGAACAAAGTGAAGATAAAGGAAGATAATGGGATGCTCCAAAGAGATTCTTCACCACTTTTCTTCCCCTCACACTGACCCACCCATTTCAGCCTACAAAATTTAAGAAATCACATATTATTCATTTATGGAGTCATGGATGACTATAGATTTAGACAATCCTTTTTAGTGAGACAGTCCCACAAAAAATGATTGTTTGTAGTGATAGATGATCATCTATATAACTTCATAAAGGATTCATATATGATTCCATAAAACTACTCTAGACTTAGATGATAGTTATAGTAGAATATGTACATTCATTCATGTTGTAATTTAAAACTTTTATTTATATGGTAAACACCCTACCATGAGCCCTATACTATCACCAATGTAAATATTGTGAACCAAAATATGAAGATATACCTTTGCCAAAAAAAATGAAACTATACCTAATTAACGGTGACCAATGATTAGATTTAGGAGGATGTTTTCACTTCCCAAATAATTACACTTAACAAGTAATACTAAAATATGCACATAATACCATATCAATTCAAATGAGAAAAAAAAAACTCACACGAATTGCCACCCCATTTCTCCCTTCCAAAAAACATCTTTTTTACTCAATGGCCTTGTTTGGTAAATGACTTGTCCACCATTTTTCTGGTTTATTTGACCATATTTAACTAATTAAACTTATTGACTAGCCAAAATACATTTTTGGTAAAGAGGCTTTTTAGAATAGCTTTTGTGTTATCAAACAAGCTCTAGTCTTTTATAATGAAACCACATTTAAATAAAATCTGATACCGAATATCCATATAGGAACTTAATTAGAGTATAACGTGAGCATGATATATCATTCAAGTTCTAAAAGCCATAAATACAATTATTAGGACGTTATGACTAATTTATCATATCTACGTTCATAAACTAAATGATGGTTTAGAAAAAATACGTAGCCATGTGAAAACATAAGATACATTCAGTTAACCCTACATTTTCAAGTTGTATACAGAACAAATAACTTTCATTATATTACTCATGATAAGTATTAGCCCAAAGCCTATGCAGATAAAAACTAGGAGGCACGTAATGTAACATGTGGATCCTAATTAGATCATAATCATACGGAGTACTACACAATAAAAAGGACATAAACATATAGTAACTACAATTAATGCGTGTGGAAAAATAACTTTTGTTGTGCAATGATACTTTTTCATACGCCTTGCCATTTGTTTGTAGAATATTTTTGTGGGAAAAGTGTAAAGCTCACAAAAAAAAAATTTGGTGAGGAAAGGAAACTTCTAACTACAAAGAGTTTTTACATTTAAAAAAGCATTTGTAGGGAAAATACAATCCCCACAAAATATAATCTTTTTGGGCCAAGGACGCATTAAGTTACAAATTTAATTTTGTATGGGCAAATTTTGTGGGCTAAGCATAGTTCTCTAGTAGTAAAAATATAGAAAATAACTGAATAATGAATATGCAATTGCTGCAATTTGAGTTGCTTATTGAGTCGAAACTCTTTAAGTTTCAACTATTATTTACATATATCCATAGTCCGGTCCTATACAAGTTTTAAACTACAAAGTGTGTCATTAACCCCTCACGAAAACATACTATGAACATTCTATCTGAAAACTATGTCCTATTAGCCGGTGGTCCAGGACTGAAAACTATACACCTGAATATCTAATCGGCAGGGGGGGACAAATAGGTTAAAAATGAGAGGATTTCCTGGCAGAAGAATGGTTTAAACAAGCTGCACGAGGAAATCCAAAAAGGAAAAAATAAATCAATTGAATAATATAACTAAGTGTTAACGCTACTTTCCAGCTATCTTCTGGCAGAACATCCCAAGCCTGAAAGTAAAATGTGACAAGTGCCTCAATTATGCATTGAAATGAATGTAGTATTATGAAATGATGGCAATCATTAAGTAACTCCCTCATATCACTTCATTAGTTAAGGGTCAAAGTGATACAAACCTTTAATTATCAAGGAACACGGTGCACTTAACCCTTCACCTTTTGGGGATCTTTGATTAGCTTCAATTTCGTAATCTCATCATCTTTTGCTGCTAGTGTGCCCTTAAGAGTTGTAACCTGCAGGTTAATTTAACTTTAGAAAGGGCCAATGTTTCATTTACTTGAACTCTTAAGATGAAAAAATGGGAAAACAAAATGGACAAACTTATTATGATGCAGTTTCCTAAAATCATTTATTCAGTAAAAAGTTGGTTATCTAGCTGGTTTCGTTTTTCAACAGAGAATAGATAATATATTTGCATGTGACTTAAGTTAGATTAGGGCTTTCTTACCCATATGATGTGTTGTACCAATCTATAAGAGATCACAAGATTCCCACTCAATCATGTGGATGAATGTAAATTATGTATTAATAGAAACATATAATCATGAAAAACAATTTATAAGCCTGCTTAACCGGCCAATGTTAAAAATATTCAAATTTAACATAGATGGTAGAGATTATTGAATTTATACCTGCTCCATCAATTCTCTGACATCCTTACCCTCTTTGCTGCTCTTGGCAGCTCCAAGCTCAACCCCAGATGCCCTTTCAGCAAATTTTAATGTGCTCAGGGATTCAGAATATGAAACACCATCAGGATTCAATTGCACAAACATAAGGGTCTTTGCTTGGCCACCTACATTAAAGAAACAATGAAAACAGAAAATAATACTCCATATTTGAATAAAATATGGGGAAAATATATAGTGTTTTAATGGGCGCTTAGTTGTCCATATATATGATCTAAAAGTAATGTAACCACACTTTCCATTTTCGGCCAAGTCTAGTATCCTATTAAGACTTAGAACTCCATCTTAAAACGTTTAGCTGCAAATAGAAGTAGCGAGAAGCAATTGCTTATTTTCAGCTTTTTTTTCCTTTAGAAAAGCTAAAAGTAGTGTTTCCAAACATGTGCTTCTATTTCAAGTTGAACAGTTTAAAGCTAAATGCAGGAGAAGGATACTTCAAACTGGTTTTCACTTTTTATGTTACACAAACTAACATTTTTCACAAAACATTCTAACTTTTACTTCTTTAAAATAATTTTGCTTTTCAAACATTATTAACTTTTACTATTTATCGATTATCATAAAATCTCTAAAATAAATCACTTCTCAGAAGTGAAAGAAAACATAAGCACTCCTATTGTACATGACTTAAATGTGAATTTGTATCCTTTTTGGCCGGTATGGAATAACCTAGTATGCCCACAAGAATTTGTATCCTCTTTGGAGAAAACGAGTCTTAACATTTGGGTGTTCTGTTGGATCGATTACTTGATTAAGCTTTGGTTCTAGTTTATTATTAAGACTTGACATTTCATCCTAAAAATTCAACCTTATATGAGGATCCATTCAATATCTTGTATGTGAGTTTGTAACTTATATATATTCTAGTGTGGAATGACATAAACAATATTACTATCTATAGAGTTTCACTATATGGGGAAGAGATGAGAAATAATATATACCTAGGGAGCTCTGTAGAACTTGAGTAAGCTTGCTATTTCGATATGGGATATGAGGACTCTTTGTTGCCAAAGCAGAAATGACATCTCCAAGGGCAGCTAATGACTTGTTTATATGTTGTGCCTCCTTTAGTCTATCTCCACTGACCTCTGATCGGTCTACCCTTTCACTTCCAGCAAGATCTACTAAATGAAGGCTGCTTCGCATGGATGACCCACTCTTCTTATCCGTCCCTCGTATATGAATGGTTAAAATGCTGTTGAGATGAGTAGGAATTATAATCTTAATGTAACATTCTAAACTAGCAAGACAGATATATAATATATTAAGAATGATTAGATATTTTTATTTCCAATGACGAACCTGTGTGAACGGCTGCTTCTTTCGTTCATCGAAGTTGAGCTTTTGGCTCTGGTCTTTAATCCAATATTCATTAGGTCCAACACGTCAGAGGGCTGGTTGACTGGAAACATGCTAGCATCTGGGACAGCTAACCCATTGGGTTGGGAGGTTGTCAAAACCCCAAGTGTGTGCACATTAAGGAAAACAAATGTTTTGACATCAAATAATCATAGACTATAAATTTACCGAGAAGTAAATAAAAGTTTTTTTCCCCTGTTATTACTAAAATAGAATTCATGGACAAAATGGATATATGGCCCATGGTAACTGAAATGTAAAATAGAACATCAGTTTGGTCACTACGAAAATAGCATATGGTCATTATGCATTAGATTTCACATGTGTGCTTATTATTTTATTTTAGCCATATTTGTGCTATTATTTCGTGTAGGAAAGGAAAAAAATATTGAAGGATTTGTTAACTATTTTAGTTTAGCCACACTAAAGAAATCATTATTTGGTTAAGGAATAAGGATATCTTTTCTGAGAGCTATCATTAGATAGTAAGTCACGAACTTGTTCATTATATATTTCCACCATTTGCACAGTTATTTCATATGAGAAAGCACTCCCTCTATCTTGTGAAATTCGGAAGAGATCATTTAAAGCACGATAGTTGACTCCCCATTGGTCTTCTGTAGCTCCATCAGGACCAGTCTGTTGATCGATCTCATTGTACTCGGCAATATCTTAAAAGCAACAACTTAACAAAAAAAATACTATGTACAATACAATGAGTTTCTTACCATAGTGTATGTTTTCCCTGATCCTGTTTGACCATATGCAAATATACATGCATTGTATCCATCCAAGACTGACTGTACCAATGGCTGTATATCTGCATATACTTGTGCTGCAATTTTTGACCAAAAGTGAAGTCTCTTGATCATTATAGAGAGGGAACGAAACGTAAAAATAAAAGATGAAAAGTCAACATGACCAATTGTCATGCATGATGCTGAAAATTGTTGTAAAACCTTGTGTTGCAGATTGACCATATACAGTATTGAACTTGAATGAGCGGCGACCCTCTTTTCCTTGTTTTGAAGGATTCACAATAATTAGCTCACCATTGTCACCAATATATTCAACAATTGTCTGCTTGTCCTTTTGTCCAGGAAGAAACGGCCTAATACGACAATATACTCTAATATTTCCTAAAATATTAAACACCCATGAGAGAATTGAAGGTCAATCAGTTAAAAGGGCAAATCATCATCCATGTCACATATAATTTTTAAATGAATCATAAACTTGCACCTTTTAACTCTTGGACCTCATTGTGTAACTTCCTGTTTTCAGCAAGAATTACAGAGTAATTTGCAGCTGCGTCTTCTAATGACCTCACTTTCACGCCTATTGAAATATAAAATTTCAAAAGAGGAGTGCGTGATAATTAATTTTGAATTAAAAGTCCATGTTGATAACAATTGCTAAGCATTAGTGTTTACCTAACTGATTGAATTCATCTGAATAAGTCTTCTGTGTTTTAACAACTTCTGACTTTACTGATTGGGAAGAAAACTTGAGTTCCTGAACTCAGCAAATGTTTGTAACTTAAAATGATATATAATAAGAAATATAATGGAGAGAGAAAATTCAAAGCATACACGTAGTGCTCCAAGCTGGAATTCGGTGAATATCTGGTAGATATGTTGTATTTTACTCCACTTATGAGACTTTTCTTCTGAAATTTTTTCAAGTTCCTCCACTCTTTTTTGTGATTCTGAAAAATGTTCAGTAACTTTCTTCAATCTTTCCTCAAGGCTTGTAATTTGCTTTAACCTTTTTTCTAGATCATGTTGAGCTCCAGTGGTTTCTGTCTTCATTTGTAAGCACTGTTGCTCATAAGTTCTTTTAGTCTCGTCAAATTCTTTTTTCAATCTATCGACTTCTTGATTTGAATCATTCTTTTCCTTCATCAACTTTACCACATCCCGTTCTTCTGTTTTCATCTGCAAGCAGTGTTCTTCATATGATTTTTTAACACGTTCAAGCTCTTTCTTTAGAGAGGCAATCTCTTGAATGGCATCATCTTTTTCTTTAATCAATCTAACCAAATCGTTCTCACTTTTACCCATTTGTGGGTTGGGTTGTTCAACTGCTTTTCTAGTTGCTTCAAGTTCTTGCTTTAGAACTGCAACTTCATGATAAGCATCATCTTTTTCCTTCATCAATCTAACCATGTTGTGCTCATTAGTTTTCATTTGTTTGATATGTTGTTCATAAGTTTCTCGAGCCGTTTCAAGCTCTAACTTCAAAATTGCAATCATTTTGTTAGAATCTTCCTTTTCTTTCACCAATTTGGTGATATCATCTTTAGAATTGTTTTGTGAGCAGTGCTTAGAGGCTTTTTTATTTTCTTCAAGTTCTTGCTTCAAAGCTGCAATGTTTTGATTTGCTGCATCATTTCCCTTCATCAACGAAGCCACATCACTTTGTATTTTATAAGCTTCTGGATGAACTTCTGGTTCTTTTTTTAGACCTGCAATCTCTTCATGAGTATCATCATCATTCCCCTTAATCAATTCAGACACGTCATTATTTTCAGGCTTAATAAATTTGTGGGCCTCTTCATAAGCTTCTGGTGGTTCTTTCTCTAAAGTTGCAATCCTTTGCAAGTTACCATTGTTTCTCTTCACCGATCTAACCACTGCACATTCATTTTTTCTCACATCTGAGTTATGCCCATCACTTCTTTGAGCTCCTTCAAGTTCTAGCCTTGAAGCTCCAATATCTTCTTGAGTGATGATATCATTTACCTTCAATAAAGCACCATCATGTTCTGTAGTTCTCATTTTCTCCTCCGTCCTTTTCTTCTCACTCTGTAAATTGATTTAATTAAACAAGAAATTTTTATAAATGAAATACATAGTAAAACATAAAAAGAATTCAGCAATTGAAATGATATTTTTTGCTACCAATAATAGCAATATTACAATGTTCTGAATAAGGGGTGGGTTCGGTTCTTGCGGTTCAGTTTTGACCTAAAACCAAATATTGAATCAAAGTAAAAAGTTCGGTTCGGTTTCGGTTCGGTTTTACACTCCAAAACTTGGAACCACGTACGGTTTAATTGGTTCAGTTTGTTTCGATTCGGTTTCGGTTTTTTCGGTTTTTTACCAAAAAATTATCATTTGATTTAAAATTGATATAATACTTTGAGGGATCAAACATATATTACATAAAGAATGCAAGCGCACTACAGCAAATAAAATAAAAATGAAAATAAATAAATATGTCATGAATTATATGAGTATGTGAGAGAAATAAAAATATATATTATTAATTTACATTGTTTGTGAGTAGTTCAAATAAAGTTCATGAGTATATTCGTTATATGTGATATAGTTGAGATAAATATTTATTGTTTCATCAATACGAATTCATTAAGTTAAATTAAAATAAAAGTTAATTAATACTAATAACAAGTAAAAACATATTATCAGTATAGCTACATTATTACGTGCAATGAATGTGTAAATGAATTCATAAACTGAACTAAACATAACAAACATTATTTCTCTAGCACAAGAAAACCAAAAACTTTTAATGATATTAGGATTAGTTAGGATTAATGCTTAACAATGGACAAATAAATTTTATATTTTAACTAGTTCGGTTTGTTCGGTTCGGTTCGGTTTTGAAGGGTAAAAACCAAAACCGTACCAAACAACTACGGTTCGGTTCAGTTTTTTACATTCAGTTTCGGTTTGTTAGCTGTTCGGTTTTATTTGGCTATGGTTCGGTATGATTTGATTCGGTTATCGGTTTTCGATTTTTCGGACCCAAACCTAGTTCTGATCACTAAGGAAGGAAAATAGCTGATTGTATGGAATGAAAGCTGAATATGCCTAATAAGTGAAGACTTTTTTGCAAATAAAGGTGAACTAAGTGGTAAGTAATTCTACACAGGCCAGAGATAAATTTAAAATCCACATATCTTTATTCAACTTATCAGTCTACCTACGTCAATTGTAAAGATACATACTCTATATATAAAGTCTTAGACTACTACTTGAACTACTACTCCTATTAGTTTAACTCTTTAAATATGAGACCCGAGTCTTAATAATATACTACGTATATCTTTCGATTAACTATATATTCTTATTAAGAAAGTGAAAGGAAGAGTAAGTTGAGGTTGGAGGGACTACTTGCTGCCACGGGAATTGTTGTGGAAGACTGTGGAAGAGCTCATACGGGCTGGGTGGCGTCTAGAGGGAGGAAGACAGCCCAGGTATGGAGGAGAAGTTCTCCGGCTGCGACGTGGAAGAGAACACGGCGCCGGAAGTGCCCTCTGTAGTGGCGATATCTGTAGAAACCGGTATGGATTGCGCTGCACTGGAAGAAGACTCCATGGTGGAGGAAATTGGCGTGACCACTGTTTCAACGGTGGACTCCATGATGGAGAAGATGCGGCGCTGATTTTTAGAGAGAGAGGACAATCGAAAAAAAATTACCCTAGGCTCTTGATACCGTGTGAATATTTTGGAAAAAAGTACCCCAATAAGAGCCCTGAAATCTCTATTTATAATAAAAGAATTTAAAACAAAATAGGAAACAAATATCCTCATAATATTCTATTAGAATCTTCTAAACAAAGAAAAACTTGAACTATGTTTATTCTAAAGAAACTAGATTGATTCCTTACTAGTTCCTTTGTCACTTCATCGGCGCCTGTTGCAAGGGCTTCCAGATCTCTAATTCTTGATAGGTACTTCTCTTCACGGGCTTTGAACATATCACTTTGCTTCAAGTAGAAAAAAATGTATAATGAGTTCATATTGAAGATTAAAACACAAAACATTAGCATGGTATACCATTCTCAAGTGTTCAGCTTGTGTAGATATCCGCATTTCTGTCTCTTGCACCACTTTTCTGAACAACAAGGCTACACGCTGGTGGTGGAATAAGTAAATAGTGTGTTAAGAGAGCTTGTTATATTGATGACACATATGAAAACATCAGACTAAACATAAATGCTTTGCAATCCAGCAAGAACATGTTATTCCATACTTCTGGTACTCCATTTTTCCGTTCAATGCTTTCATCTATAATTCCATTCACGAAGCTTAAAAGAGAGTGTGTCGGAGCATTCTAAGACAAGAAAATAAATGAGAGAATAAGTCATAGAAAGAAAAAAACACTTGTGTCATGCGCTTTAATGAACTAGTCAAATATATCAAAAAGAATAATATGGTTCTTCAACACAAAAGGGGCCATGTTGAACACACATTCAAACTGTTTGATCTCTTCAATTCTGAAATATTTGATGGTAGCCGATCGACATAACTTCCGTGCTTAACCTGAAACACTTCTTTGAATGTATTCCCAACTTGATGCAACAATGCAGAAGATGGATCTGCACAAGGAAAATGAACAAATTGAGAAATATATTTGGAATTGAAGAACGAAAACATCTTAATTGTAAGAACATTAATTAAATGTGATAAAGATATTCTGTGACCGCTCAATTTTATGTAATATGAAAAGAAATAGTAATAACAATAAAATTTATGGTAACCCTTTTCTTAACTAGTTTTGATTAAGAACATTTGTATACTATAATTTTTTTATACACTACAACAACATGCAACAACATTACCCTAGTGCTGCAAAGGCTCCCACCTACGGTGAGGTAATGGGGGTTGGGTGTACAAGCCTTACCCATGTACTAAAGCATAGAGAGACTATTTCCGAATGACCCATGATGAAACTCGCATAAAAATTTGCATAGACTGACCGCTACTTCATATAAAGAAGCACAGACAGTTTAGTGGGTCATTTTGATTTATTCCATCATATATTAGGGAAAGTTCCCGAAAATAGGACTAAAACAGTTTGGAAATTCCAAAATAGGACTGTCATGTTTTTATTCCCAAAATAGGAGTAATTACTGCCAAGTTTGGAAAATACTGCCATGTTTGAAGTCTATTTTGGAAATAAAACATGGTAGTCTCATTTTGGAATTTTCTAACTCTTTTAGTCCTATTTCGGGTAATATCTCTATTTGTATACACTAATGAAAAAAATGGTCGAGTGCGGTATGAGAAAAGTTCGAAAGTAAAACGGTTGCAACAAATAAAGAACGGATGAAGTTTACAAATATATAAACTAAAAGAAGGATGCATGTAAACTAACAGTACCAGCCACCACAGGACTATGCGATGCACGCCTAGAAGATTGTGAAGAATTAGATTGACGAGATTCTTGTCTTTGAGGAGGAGAAACATCATATCCAATATGTTCACCCAACCCCTTCCATCTTATATTCGAAGCATTTCCAGATAGATTGGATGTATGCATATTCAAATTTTTGTATTCTCCAACACTTGGCACAAAATGTGTTTTAAGTGTTAAAAGGCAGTCAACAATAATTTTCATAGACCCCTGGAAATGTAGTATAGTAACAGTTATAGATAAGAGAACATATGAAAATAAACATAAAAGACTCTTGCAGAAAAGAAAGCACAGACTCGTTATGACCAATTGAGCATAAATACAGCATAAAAAAGGTTATTTTCAGATTCCTAGTTACTAAATTGTCTTGTAAAGAAAGCAAAAAATCCATCAAATGACTCACATATTCTAAGTCTGATGGACGAAATCTAGGTAATCTCATTTTATCCATGGCAAATAAGAATCTCCTAACATCTTGTGAGCACGATTCCCATGAATGGCCAGATCCATCATCCTACATGAGAAAGTAGATGTAGGAAATTCAAGCATCATACTTTGAAATAAACCCATCTCAGTCGCACATCACATAAGTAAAGAGATAATGATTCAATAAGATTATGTGTACTACCAATGTTAGTTAAGATTTAATCTTTTAGTATAGTTTGTCCCTAATGTCTTATGTCGAGTGGTAAGACTCGAATTAAATCCCACATTCTATTTTCTTATAGAGAAACCACTTGAGGGGAGTGTTAGAGTCCCAAGTGTGGTTTGATCCAAGTGTCTTATATAGAAAACGAGTAACATCTTATGTTAAAATGTGGCTTAGCTCAAGTGTCATATTGAGAAAATAATGTTTTATAAAACTTCATGTTGAAGTAACTAATACTTCAATTTTTTGGTATGGTTTGGCGCAAGTAAGATAGCAAATTTGTATTTACCTCTATCACAGAACCAGGTTCCAACTTGTTCAGTAGTTGGCACAAAACACTACCATCAACTAAGAATGCTCGAAGTTCCTCATCTGAAGCATTTACAGGCAAACTCAAACCAGGAAGCGTATCATTTAACCATTCCAACACTGTTGTCCGGTGCTTAGCTGCATGAGAAGGGAGTAGGGCAAGGCAACAAGAAAGTTAGGTTAATCAAGAAACTATGTCAAAACACAAAGTATTGTGCTTTCCATGTTTGATGACCTCACCATTACTACTTGAAGATGGCTCGAATACACGACAACTAATAGATATGTTTGAGTCGCTGAGTCTACCATAGTCCTTGATTGGGCGAGATGCTACAGAGTTCATGCTGGACAACTACAATTCATCTACACAACACGACTAAGAGTAAGAGCAATACTATATGTTAAAGTTGCACATCAAAAAGTTGAAGAAAGAATGATGTGTTAATAAGACTTTGGATTGAATACATAGTGTATGTATGTGTTATCACTTAAAAGAATAAAAAAAATGAAACTGGTTAACATATTTAAGTTCTCTGACAAAGTTATGATCCAACTATGTTCTTGGCACTCTAAGTAAGAATTCTGTTATCAACATATGTCATTACTTAATAGAAATGTAGGACTTTTGACTCCCTAGAAATGGCTAATGGAAAATAGAGTGTTATAGAAGTTTATAAGTGAAAAACAAATGAATAAGAACTATGAAATCTATGAAAGTTCCGAAACACAGATTTTTCATATCTTAATAGCTTTTGGGTTCGAGGGGGTGGTTCCCAGGAAAATTGAAACTCTATGCCAATGAAATCCAAACTTATATTTAATGGTATACTTATACACAAAATTTCCTCTTTAAAAATAATGAAAACCACATATAAATATAAAATATGAATATTATTTGTAACTAGTAAGGTATATGCATCAAAATATTTAAAAAGAAGTATTGTTTTGGCCTTGAATAGAAAATCTAGGTCCCCAATCAGATGAAGAACAAAGTGGCATGCACAATTCCGCAATGTAGAATACAAAAAATGATTATATAAAATGAAGAACAAATAAAACACGCATGCAAGTGAAATTGTTCAAACTCCGTCATGAAAGATACATTTTACAGCAAAAGGAATGGAATTTAACGAAGGAAACGAGATAGGAACCTGATATAATGTACAAGGTGGTATGAAGCTCCGCTAAATCATTAGAGAAGACAAATGACAAATATTATCTTATTTGTATTTATTTATACATTTTTTATTTATTCCTCATTGCCGCATTCGGAGTACCGTTGGTCTTGTGTGACGGATGAGCAAGCTCCGCCATTTTAGGACCTGCTCTCTCTCTCTCTCTCCATTTTATTTTCACCCCATTTATTTTGTTTTTCTTCATTTTTATTTATTTTACTCTTTACACTTTTTTCATCTAAATAATTAAAGAGACTTTTCTTAAATATTACCAAAATATAGGAAAAAATATTTCTATAGTTACATCACGTAAACACTAAAGTGGTAGAGTTGAACACAACCATGATCACTAAAGTTATTACGGTAGTTATTAAGTCATATTTTTATCCATTACCTTTACATCGATCATATATTTGTCATTATTTCATAATTCTATGAAACACAAAATATGATTTTCTGAATTTTATGCTATTAGTTTTGTATAAATGATAGAGGATTATCAATTTATTTTTTTTGTCTAATTGGTCAAGAAAGCATCATAATTGACGAATATATTATCGCATCCCATGCAACAAAAAGATCAAGATATTCTCGAGATTCTGATCTTATTTGAAAACATCATGAGTAATTTCAAGGTTTGAAGAAAAATGGATTAGAATACTACCCGAAAGATGTCAATATTTATCTGTTAATTAAGAACGAAGTTAACATTCTTAAAATGAAAGAGACGGATCATTGCTCTAGATTCGTTCATTATCCAATAATGAATTATCACCACTTTGGAATTGTTATATTTTGTGAGGTATGTACATCATCATCATCATCATCATCATCATTGTACTTCATTTTCGGGCACAATAATTATGTGGCACAATGTGTAACGTTAAAACCAATCCCAGTTCTGAATCAAAATTCTAACTCTTTGTAATACAAAAAAAATGAGTTTTGATTTAAAACTAGAAACGTTGTAAGAATGATTTAGTTATAATCCATATTATGCTTTTCTTTAAAAAAAAATGAATGTTATTGTTTAGAATTGTTTTAATGAAATGAAAACTAGACCTATAGTAACATATAGATGTACATCGCTAGAACTTGACATTGAATAACATATTTCCATTAAGTGTCTACACTTGTGGCCAAACATAATTGATTTTTCTCAGACTCGACCCAACTCTGTCCATTCAACAGTGCGCCGCTTGACAAAAGTTCTAGATCCGTCACTGCTTGTCCCCAAATAGGGACTTCACTAGACAAGGAAACAAAGCTATCACTAATGCAAAGAAACAACACAAGAATGAGAGCTCTCTACCCCTCAGCCTTGATCACCTCATCCACTACTTAGCTATCACTGACGCCACGTGTTAAGTTTTGTAGGAAGTTGTTCATAGGTTAATTTAAACATTTACATGCATGTCGTGCACGGGTAAAAATGATTTTGCTTTTGATTTTACTAATGTAAAATCACTAATTTAGTCGATGATAATATAGATTTATAATGCATATTCTAATTTATTGAGTAAGTCTTATTTTTTAGGTAATTATCTAAATATGTTTGCACTCTATATTTTTCAATGAAAATAGCATTTTCTTATAACTCTACGTTGCATTCAAATGAAATTAATCTTTTAAAATATTGGGAAAATGGAAATTAATAATCCAACCTTTTAGCGGTCTTCTTTTAATAGTCCGACCTTTTCGTTATTCATGAATAATCCAACCTTTGCACCTCATCTTCATTCATTGGTCCCCGACCGGTTGATGACCTGCTATTCCGAGTTATTTTCTTATCTCTGCAAACTATTATACCATAAATTCCACCTTTCACAAAGATAATATTTTGCAAAGATAAGAAAATAACTTGGAATAACAGGTCATCAACCGGTTAGGGACCAGTGAATGAAGATGAGATGCAAAGGTTGGATTATTCATGAATAACGAAAAGGTCGGACTATTAAAAGAAGACCGCTAAAAGGTTGGATTATTAGTTTCCATTTTCCCTAAAATATTTACCTAAACATAAAAGAAAATGCTTAATGTCAGTTTTTTCCACTAAATTTCATTTGTAGCTTCCTATTTTTTTTTTCAAATCTAACTACACATTTTTGTAATTTACTTATCTAAAAGTGGGTGTAGTCAATTTTTTAAGATTTCAGCCCTTCTAGGTTGTAGAATTTTACAAATTGGTCATTCGATCACTTTCTAAGATTTATTTTCTTAAATTTATTTTGCAGTGTTTGCAAAATAGCCTCACTCGAAAATTTATTTTGCAAATTTATGTAGCCTCAATTTTTCTTAGATTTATTTTGCAAATTTTGCAAATCCGTGACTACAATGTTTTTAAAATTCATTTTCGCAAATTGATCGTAATCAAGAAATTGGTTTTGAGGTTAGTTGTATAATTTCTGTAGTCTATGCCATTTTTTAATCTTAGTACCAAATCATGTGTGCCATCTCAAATTTGGTTATAAATCAAAACTTACTCATAAATATTATTAAAATATGAATGACTAACTAATAGTTTAATTAATTTTGTATATATGCATGTCTCACTTCTTCTAATTATGATTAACTACATAATAAGCTAATTAACTTCAAAGTTTACTCATGAATAGCTTTCAGGTGATTTATTGAATTTTAATCTAATATGATATTCAAAATTTTAGGGAGGACTCCATTACAAATGCTTTTAATTAGACAGGTTTTATTTGGCTGATTTGTCTATTCTGATCAAATCTGGTCTGATTTGGTTTGATTTGGTTTGGTCATAGTATCTGGCCATTTTGAAGCTCTTTTTATCAAACAAGTTGACCGCATTCAACCAATAGTTTAGCTGCAACTAACATTTCAAAATTTAGCTCGAGACAATAGTCTCTAGCTCACACAATAACTCTTAATTTAGACATTAGCCTCTCCACCTACAGTTCGAAATGCTAAACATTGCCCGAACCTATGAGCCCCTTTGGCATGTTAGGAATTAAACTCACGCACGAGAAAAACAATAACGAAGAACCACGCTCATCGTCTTCCTGTCCAGCAACTTCCAGTCGCTCTCCTTCATGTCTTCCGGCTTATCGTCCAGAGGTTGATACAGATCTTTACCGTACAGGTAATCTTCGATCTGCAACTTCCTAAATCCGAAATCTGTTCCGTGCATCAACGGTGTCTTCAAATTGTCTGCCATCGTGAGATCACCCTTCGAACCTAGGGCTCTGATACCAATTGTTAGGAATTAAACTCACGGACGCGAAGAACAATAACGAAGAACACGCGAAATTTGGTAACCCATTTCGCCACGAATGACTACGTCTAGGGGCGCTACCAAGCCAGGAATATTATTGCTATTTTCGGATCCACACATGATTACAAGGGAGAGAACTTGTATTTATAGAGAAGTAAAACCCAACCCCAAGGCAACTAGGATGCGTTTAAAAAAATAAATTAAGAAACGTGTTTCCAAAAATAAATTAAGAAAAACTTCACTATACAATCTCTAACACCTTACAATCTCCCATCTTGAGACTGTCTTCTTCAAATCCTCCCTTGTTAGCATGGTAGCGTCAGCCTTTATCTTCAAGTACCAAGGCCAATTGAAGCTATGCAAAGCTTCAATTTCTCCAAGGTTACCACCTTAGTAAACATGCTTGTTGGATTCTCACTCCCACGGATCTTCACAAACTGCAATGCCTCTATCTCTAGAAGATGACAGATGTAGTGCTACTTCAATCGAATGTGTTTGGTTCTCTTGTGAAAAGCTGAGTTGTTTGCCAAGAAAATAGCACTCTGATGTCACTGTAAAGAATGATATTCATGTACTCCTTCCCAAGTTCCCCAAGTAAATTTGGAAGTCACACCATCTCCTTACTTGCCTCCGTAATGGCCACATATTCAGCTTTAGTGGTAAATAATGCAACAATCTTCTGCAGCTGCAAAAGCCAGGAAACTGCCGTTCCACCAAATGTAAAAACATACCCGGTGGTGCTCCTTAATCCATCTGAATCATTTGATGTCAAGTCTGCATCAACATGTCCCAGCAGCTCTACATTCTTCCCATCAAAACACAAAGCATTAGAAATAGTACCTTTCAAATACCTCATGATCCACTTTACAGCTTCCCAGTTTTTTTTCTCGGGGTCTCCCATGTATCTGCTCACTACTCCCACTGCATGTGCAATGTCTGGCCTCGTGCACACCATAGGTACATGATGTTGCCAATTGTCGAAGCGTATGGGACATTCTGCATTTAAGCACGATCCTCCTTGTTCTTCGGCGAGTCTTCCTTGCTAAGCTTGAAGTGACTACCCGGTGGTACACTTGCTACCTTTTCATCTTGCATTCTGAATCTTTCCAGGACCTTCTGAATGTATTCTGCCTGTGAAAGAAACAATTTGTCCGCTGCCTCATCCCTCTCGATTCGCATGCCCAAAACCTGCTTTGCCTCTCCAAGATCCTTCATGGAAAAACGTTCTGACAACTGTTTCTTTAGCTTCTTAATCTCCTTTGAACTAGCTCCTACAATCAACATATCATCAACATATAACAGCAAGATAAGATAACAGTTCTCGGTCTTCTTGTAGTAGCAACAATTTTCGGTGTGGCATCTCAAGAAAATTATGTCCCTAGCTCATGAAACCATCAAATTTCTTGTACCACTGCTTCGGTGCCTGCTTCAACCCGTATAGGCTCTTCACTAGCTTACATACGAGTTGTTCACTGTCCTCTGCCACGTAGCCTTCCGTTTGCACCATGTAAATCTCATCATTCAGATCACCATGAAGGAATGCAGTCTTCACATCCATCTGATGTAACAACGAATTCTCTGCAGCAACTAACCCCAACACTAACCGAATAATAGTTAATTTCACAACTGGAGAGAATATGTCGGTATAATCGATACCATACTGTTGATCGAATCCCTTCACAACCAGCCTAGCTTTGTAGCGTTTTCTACCATCTGCCTCCTTGTTGATGTGGTAGACCCATTTGCAGTGCAAAACCTTCTTTCCTCTCGATAGCTCAACTAACCTCTAAGTATCATTGGATGTGAGAGATGCCATCTCATCATCCATTGCAAGTTTCCACTTGGCCTTGTCATCAACCCGAATTGCCTTTGCATAGGACTCCGGTTCACCACCATCAATAAGGAACAAATAGAAATTAGAAGGTGAATACCCATTTGGTGCTCTCCGGTTTCTGGCAGGCCGCTGCCTTGGTGGGGTTGATGGATCTTCATCACTACTCAACTCTTCATTATGATCGTTCTTGCTCCCACCCGAATTAGAGATATCCAACTCTATGGTCTTCGGACTTTCTTGCTCAGAATCAGGTGCACTCAATATGTCCTTGTACATAACCTGCTCGTTGAAGACCACATCACGGCTACGAATAATCTTCCTATTCTGATCATCCCAGAATCTGTATCCATAGTCATCACCCCCATATCCAACGAACGTACACTTCACAGATTTTGTGTCTAGCTTGCTTCGGTCAGTGGAACTAATATGAATGTAAGCAACACAACCAAATATGCGGAGATAGGACAAATTGACCTCCTTACCCGTCTATCTTTCTTCAGGTATGTCATTATCCAACGAGATCGTTGGACTTCTGTTGATGAGAAAAGCCGAGGTGTTCATTGCATCCGCGCAAAACATCTTCGGTAAGCCACTCTTCAACCTCATGCATCTAGCCCGCTCATTCAGTGTTCTGTTCATGCGTTCAGCAACGCCATTATGCTGCGGAGTCCCCTTTGTTATTTTCTCCATACGAACCCCATTTTCAACACAAAACTTCTTGAACTCATGCAGTTCATACTCACCTCCATTGTCAGACCGAAGACACTTCAATTTCAGACTTGTCTCTGTCTCAACAAGAGCTTTCCACCTTCTAAAAGCATCAAAGGCATAAGATTTATTTTTGAGGAAATAAACTCATACCTTTCTTGTGGCATCATCAATAAAGGTCATGTACTAGGCGGATCCTCCCAAGGATGTAACTTCTGCAGGTCCCCAAAAGTCAGTGTGAACTAGTTCCATCTTCTCCGGTTTAATATCTCGTCTTCCCTTCGAGAAACTGACACGTTTCTGTGACATGCCAAAATGTGTAGTGTGAAATGGTGTAAAAATGTGAATGGAAATGATGTTTTAATTGGCTTGTAACGATATAGTATAGAGTAAGTGAGTATCGTTCCGCTAGAGAATGGCTCAAAAAGAGAACTAGAATTAATGATTGATTTTTAGCTAATCACAAATTGATAACATTTTGCAATGGAGCTAAGTGAACATATTTTTTTATCTTGTTTTTATAAATGTGAAATTGCTAGGAAATAAAATAAATCACAATACTTGATAATTTAACAATTAATGATATAGAGAAAATTAGGCTTGGGCTAAGAGTAAATTTATTATGATGTTCATAAATAATAAAGATTTAACTAATTAACTTAATTACTTTTAGGTGTGTGAAAGATTTACAAATGGTAATCTTCTAATCGTTCCCACGACTTAGTTGATTACACTATCTTAATTTAATTCCGCTCCCGCGGTAATTTTATTAAGACAGTAAAAAGTACGAAATCAATTTATCCTAAATTCCTTAACACTTCCATGTAGTAATTTAGTGGGTGAATTAAATAAATGGATTTTAATGAAATTTCACTCCCGTGATAATATTCATTTCCAATATTAATTTATTTAGCAGATTATAGTATTCAACCCAACACTCCTAAAATTAACCAGTTAATAGTTTTAACCAATTATTATCTTATGAACATTAATAGTAAAAATAACATCTTGCCCAAACCTAAACTAATTTAGTTACACATAATTATAGTGAACAATATAAAAGTAAAAATTCATGCTAGACATATTTAACTTAACAGATTAAAGAAATTAAAGTGAGTGTTTAAATAAGAACCTGAAGGCATAAATAATGAAGAACATAGATGAACTGGAACAGAAAAGCTGAAGTCCTTGTATTAATCTGGAACTGATCGAACGAACTGATAATTGCAAATGAACTTTAATACCAAATATCACAAGCTAATATTTTGGAACTGAGAATTACAAACTGAAATCTATACAGAAAGTGTTCTTGGCAGAATCACTTTTATTTTATTGCTACTACTATGAACAAAGCTAAAGAAAGAAGAGGATGATTCCTCTCTGAATTGGTGTGTTTTCGCAGCTCCCAAATGGCTCTTTATATAGGCAACTTCAGAATAGCTTGGAGCACAAAAGTCATATGATGAAGATGGTGATGGAATTGAGTTCCTATTGAAGAATAGTGCTCTGGACTCATTTTTCTTCTTCTGCGGCGCCTGTCATGAACTTTGATTGAGCTTCTTTTGGTTTGTTGCTGAATGGTGAAGATGATACGTGTGTAGAGCTTCAATTGTGTGGAAGAAACTAAAGTCATCACTATTGAATGGGTCCCTCTCATAATGCAATGTATTTATTTCTTTTCATTCTTGGGAGCTTCCTACGTATGGAGTTTCACTCATAATAAGGAGTGAATAGTACCTGTCAGCCAAAGTTTTGGCTTGTATCCGCCACTTGCATTATTTGACCGGTTAATTGTTTGATCAGTTAACTGGTCAGCAATTAACCGGTACGTTTTATTGCGGACAGTCTGACTTATTCTAAAATGTATTTCGGGACTCTTGATAAAATATTCCGGAGTTAAAGTAAGAACCCACTTCACTTTGATGATTTTTCCGTCTTCATTCGGGAGTAATATTTATTTCTTTTCAGAAATTAATATTCGTCCCGAATTATCCTGAAACTCAAAAATATACCAAAACAAGTGCAATACCTTAAAATGTCCAAAATGATAAAGAGCATTCCTTTTTATTTAAAAATGAGAAATAAAGTATTAAAAGTGTGACAAAACAAGATCATAAATATGGTAAATTAGGAGTACATCAACTCCCCCATACTTAAGATTTTGCTTGTCCTCAAGCAAAAATATTTATATGCATTTCACACAAGCAAGCAAGCAAGCAAAAATGAATTGCCAAATCATATGTGTAATCCTCAAATCATGCACACTTTACCTTCACTCCACCTGGTCAATCAAATTCCCTTGACTTGTCACAAAATTAGAGTAGTGAGAATCATAAAAATATTTTGCATATCATTTGAAACGTTTTGGTCAAATCTCAACTCTAACAAACACAAAGTGTGTGGTGTGAAGATGGAATCTAGCTTCATTTGTTCAATCATGCAAAATTATGCAAAATAAGATTTTCCTATCAACTTATTTCAGACAAAACATAATTAGGATCAATTAGGACTTTCACATAGGGTTATAATGGGGTCTGTGGGATAAGGCTTATGAACAAAGGGAATTAATGAGGAAACAAAAGAAATGAACTTGACATAAATTTAACAAATTTAGAGAGGTATTAAGTAGTGAGTAGGAGCTTTTGACAATAATCTATACAACACTTGTTATTTTTAATAGTTAGGGGTAGTAAACTAGTAACTAGTAAAAAGAGTAAATTAATGTACAAAAAAAAATATACAAAAGAGAGAAGCATATACATGGATAATTAGCCTTGTTTAGATTTTTTTTTTTATTCTTTTTTTTTTTCCTTTTTTCTGTTTATTTTTTTTTTGACTTTTTTTTTGTTTTTTTTTTTTAATTTTTTTGTTTTTTTTCAAGGCTTTTTAGTGCTTCTAACCATAAGAATTTACAAGAACAATATGTACAATGATGATACAACAAGAACAAATACCCCTATAAATGAATATTAACAACTAAGTAATCACAAAAATGTAATTATTAAAGCTCCCTAAATGTGAATGACACTCTCTAAACTCATTAAAATTTATGCAAGCCATTTTAGGGTGGTTGGAAAGTGTTTGGCTTTTAGGCTAAGGGTCACATATAACAGGTTTTTATGAAAGAAAATAAAAAAAAACAGGGTTAAGCGTATAACGCTTATTAAAAAAAAATGGCTCAAAGGGGGTGAACAAGGGATATTAATCACATGGGTAAGGCTAGGTATATGGGTTTATGAAAAATGGCCTATATCATTTCCTAATGTGCTAAGTCAGAAAATCATGTCAAGGAAAATAAAAGCACATAGCACTCTTGTTTTGCACAATTTTAAACATATTGAACAACAATTCACTAGATAACCATTTATGTGCATGAGAGGTTTTGTGTTTGTAAAAAGTTTAAAATTTTGACCAAAATTTTACTCAACGCTCAAAAATTATGATTCTCAATCCAATTATTAAGAGACAAGTCCCGCCAACAATCCACGTACCTTGTGAAAGAATAGAATGCATGATTTGAAAGTTATACAAATTGATAAGGCAGTTCACAAACACACAAACATGCATATTCTCCCCCCACACTTAAGACGAAACATCGTCCTCGATGTGACAAATATATACAGGGCGGGTGAGTAAATGGGTGGGAAAATAAAATTATTCAATGCAAACACACAAGCAAAACACACATTCAAATGCAAGTAAATAAGCTTGGGTTGCCTCCCAAGAAGCGCTATTTTTAACGTCGAGTGCCCGACATTACCTGGGTGGTTTACTCGTAAGGAGGATCATCCAGATGAACAGTGAGTTTCTCCTTTGTGTCATCTCCTTCATGGTATTGCTTAACTCTTTGGCCATTAACAGTGAATTGCCTCCCATCATTGGCCTCCAGAATGATTGCCCCAGATGGAAAGGCTTTGATAACTTTGAAAGGTCCAGACCATTTTGATTTCAGCTTTCCTGGAAAGAGTTTCAGCCTTGAGTTGAATAGTAGCACACTATCCCCAGGAGAAAAGTCTCTCCTAAGGATTCTTCCGTCATGCCATTTCTTTGCTCTTTCCTTGTAAAGTCGGGCATTCTCAAAGGCATCAAGTCTGAATTCTTCAAGTTCATTCAATTGTAGTAGCCTCTTTTTCCCTGCCAGAGTGTAGTCAAGGTTTAGGCTTTGGATAGCCCAAAATGCTTTGTGTTCAATCTCCACTGGTAAGTGACAAGACTTCCCATACACCAATTTGAACGGCGATGTCCCAATGGGAGTCTTATATGCAGTACGATAAGCCCATAAAGCATCATCTAATCGGAGGGACCAATCTTTCCTTGTGGGATTGACAACTTTCTCAAGGACTGATTTAATTTCCCTATTTGAGAGTTCAACTTGGCCACTAGTTTGTGCATGGTACGGAGTAGACACTTTGTGATTAACACCATACTTGAGCAAAAGTTTCTCAAGTTGTTTATTGCAAAAGTGTGTACCATTATCTGTGATGAAGGCCCTGGGAACTCCAAACCTTGAGAAAATAAATTTCTTTACAAACCGGATCACAACCTTGGAATCATTGGTTGGACTAGCAATCGCTTCAATCCATTTCGAGACATAGTCCACCGCCACAAGAATGTAAGAATTGCCACATGAGCTAGGAAATGGGCCCATAAAGTCCATTCCCCATACATCGAAGAGTTCAACTTCAAGTATTCCAGATTGTGGCATTTCATTTCGACGACCAATTGATCCCGTGCGTTGGCATCGATCACATCTTTTCACATACATTTGAGAATCTTTGAACAATGTAGGCCAATAGAAACCTGACTGCAGGACTTTAGCTGAAGTCCTAGTGGATCCGAAATGACCACCATATGGTGATGAATGACAATGATAAAGGATAGCCTCAAATTCATCTTCTGGGATGCATCTTCGAACAATTCCATCAGCACATCTCTTGAACAATAGTGGTTCATCCCAAAAATAGGAGCGAGCATCATGTAAGAACTTTTTCTTTTGGGCCCATGAGAATTCAGAAGGAATATAACCACTGACAAGGTAATTAACCCAATCAGCATACCAAGGAGAAAAGTGCTTGATTGAGAGTAAATATTCTCCCGTGAATGAATCATCAATGGGTAACACTTTAGTCGCTTCATTTTCTGTGTGTGGCTCAATTCTGGACAGGTGATCAGCAATGACATTTTCAGACCCTTTTTTGTCAAGGATCTCAATATCAAACTCCTGTAGTAGCAACACCCATCTAATAAGTCGTGGCTTGGCCTCCTTCTTCGCAAACAGGTACTTTAGAGCCGAGTGATCAGTGTAGACTATCACTTTGCTTCCAACAAGATATGACCTGAACTTCTCTATTGCAAAGACAACAGCGAGTAGTTCTTTTTCTGTTGTGGCATAGTTTTGTTGGGCATCATCGAGAGTATGGCTTGCATAATAAATTGCATGTATGCACCGACCTTGTTTCTGTCCCAACATGGCTCCTACAGCATAGTCACTAGCATCGCACATTAGGATGAAAGGCATGCTCCAATCTGGTGGTTGAATGACAGGTGCAGAACATAATGCTTTCTTAATTTTGCAAAAGGAATTAAGACAAGCATCGTCAAAGATAAACTCAACCTCTTTGGACAGGAGTCTTGTGAGTGGTTTTGCAATATTAGCAAAATCCTTGATGAATCGCCGATAGAATCCGGCGTGCCCTAGAAAACTTCGGATGCCTTTAACAGATGTTGGTGGTGGTAACTTCTCAATCACTTCGATCTTTGCTGGATCTACCTCAATGCCTTTGGATGAAATCTTATGCCCAAGAACAATTCCCTCTGTTACCATGAAATGGCACTTCTCCCAGTTTAGAACAAGATTTGCCTCTTGGCAACGAGTCAGTGCTTTATCAAGATTATCCAAGCACGAACCAAATGAGGTCCCATAAACAGAGAAATCATCCATGAATACCTCCATGATTTCTTCAATAAGATCAGAGAATATGGCCATCATACACCGTTGGAAAGTTCCGGGTGCATTACATAGGCCAAATGACATTCTTCGAAAAGCAAATGTACCATAGGCACACGTGAAGGTAGTCTTTTCTTGATCATCTGGATGGATCATGATTTGAAAATATCCTGAAAATCCATCTAGAAAGCAATAATGGCTATGGTTTGCCATCCTTTCAAGCAACTGATCAATGAAAGGTAAAGGATAATGATCCTTATTTGTGACTTTGTTCAGCCTCCTGTAATCGATGCACATTCTCCATCCCGTGACCAAACGAGTAGGAATGAGCTCATTGTGCTCATTTGGAACAACTGTGAAACCTCCTTTCTTTGGTACAACATGGATTGGACTTACCCATCTGCTGTCCGAGATAGGGTAAATGATTCCGGCATCAAGAAGTTTGATAACTTCTTTCTTCACAACATCCTTCATGTTAGGGTTGAGCCTCCTTTGATGTTCAACTACTGGTTTGCAACCTTCCTCAAGATATATTCTGTGCATACAATAGTTAGCACTGATGCCAATTAGATCATCAATGGAGTATCCAATGATCCGTTTGTGTTTTCTCAGCAGGGTCAATAGTTTGTCTACTTCTTCCTCGTTCAACTTAGTGCTAATAATCACTGGGTAAGTGGAGTTTTCACCAAGATAAGCATATCTTAGGTGTGATGGTAAAGGCTTCAACTCATTTTTGGGTGGTTCTTTTGTGTTGTTAGCCTCCCTCACTTCTTCTTTCACCAGTTTTACCACTTCCTTCCCCTCGTGATTCTTTTTACAACTCTCTTTGTTTTTTACACACTCAACTAACTCTTCTCCCTCATGATTATTTTCAATTTCCTCCACATCATAAACTTCCATAGGATCATTGTGAAAGAATCCCATGAAGTCTCTCACACATTCATCAACTATATCAACCCTCCAACAATCTTCCATACATGCAGGATTTCTCGCCATTTGGAAAATATTGAATTCAACCCTTTCATCCCCCACTTCAATTATTAACGTACCTTTTTTAACATCAATGATGGCACCGGCAGTGGCCAAGAAAGGTCTTCCCAATATGACAGGTACTCGCTCATCTTCATCCATGTCTAGGACGACAAAGTCACAAGGGATGAAATATTTCCCAACCTGTACAGGAATGTCTTCAAGAACACCAACAGGGTGCTTAACAGATCGGTCAGCAAGCTGAATGGTCATTGAAGTAGCCTTGGGAATACCAAGACTAAGGCGCTTGCTCATAGAATAGGGGATAAGGCTAACACTAGCCCCAAGGTCGCATAAAGCTTTGTTGACCATGAACCCTCCAATTATGCATGGTATAGTAAAGCTACCTGGATCCTTCAATTTTTCAGGAAGTTTCTTCTGAATGATAGCACTGGATCCCTCGCTCATGGCTATTGTAGCTTTCTCCTCGAACTTCTTTTTGTTTGACAGAATTTCCTTCAGAAATTTGGAATATGAAGGCATATGTTTTAGAGCATCAAGAAGCGGGATTGTTGTGTTCAACTCACCGATCCATTTAAGGAATTTATCCCTCCTCTCATCAATTGTATTCTTCTTTGCTCTGTGAGGAAATGGTAAAGGTGGAGCATATGGTTGCACTACCTTTTTTAAACCTTCATTTGCAGAAGAAGTAAGATCTTCTTCATTATTTTCCTTTGATGGTGAAGCCTCCTTTTCAGGAATCTTTTCTTTCTCAACTATAAGTGGTGGATCAGAAAGTTGTTCTCCACTCCTTGTAGTGACTGCATTGACATTCTCCTTGGGATGTTCAGAGTAGGCAGGCAACTTTCCTTGAGCTTTGCTAGTTGATGGTGAAGCAAAACTAGCAATTTGGCTCTCTAACATTTTGTTGTGAGCTTGAATTTGATTGAGTTGAGTTGTGAGTTGAGAGAATTGATTAGTAATTCCTTGCATCATCTGTTGGAAATCATTAACTCCAACGAATTGTTGTTGTTGTGGTGGTGGCAATTGTTGTTGCGGTGGATAACCTTGAGGATTTTGGTACCCTTGATTTCCCCTCAATTGTTGGTTGTTTTGGTTTCCTCTGAATCCTTGCTGATTTTGAAATCCAGGAGGTGTTGGTTTGGATGGAAAAGATGGATTTGCTGCACCTGATGAATTACTCCATGAAAATCCTGGATGTGTCTTCCCTTGAGGATTATAGTTTCCTTGATATGGTACTTGAGGTCTACCATATATAGCATCGGCTTGTTCTACTGTGGGGCCAGAAGGAACGTTTTGTGTAAGTTCTAGAAGATTGCATTCCTTTGCAGAATGCCCTCCTCCACAGAGTTCACAGAACAAAACTTGAGCTAAAGATGATGATGGATTTGTTGATTTGCTAGAAGTTGATGATGATTGCTTCTCAGTGAGCTTTTGGATCATGTTTGTGAGAGAATCAACCTTTGCTGTTAAAGCTGTTGTTTGGTCAACCTCATAAATCCCTGCTCCTAGCTTTTGAGTTGATCTTTCAGAATACCATGATGAACTGTTGTTGCAAATTTTCTCAAGCATCTCTTTTCCAGTTTCGGGATCAAGCTCCATGAAAGCTCCATTAGCAGAGGCATCCACAACAATTTTGGAATTATCATGTAATCCCTCATAAAATGAGACAATGAGATCACCCATGCTCATATTATGATGTGGATATTGAACTTGAAGATCTTTAAATCTCTTCCATGATTCATAAAGAGATTCTGATGGTTGTTGTCTGAATTGTTGGATCAGTTTCTTCATTTTTGATGCCTTAGAAGGAGGATAGAACTCCTTCATGAAATCTCTATGCAACTTCTCCCATGTGTTGAAATAACCGGATGGTTTAGAGTTCAACCAACTCAATGCCTCATCCCTCAGTGAGAATGGGAACAATCTGAGCCTGATAGCATCAACAGAGGCTCCGTTTAGTTTAAGAGTTTGGAGAACTCTCAAGAATTGCTTCACATGGCTCGTCGGATCTTCATTCTTTGATCCGCCAAATTTATTTGCTGAGACCAACGAGATAAGTGCTGGTTTGATCTCAAAATTTACTGCATCCACGCCTGGATAGAGAATGCTATCTTGTTCCTCAATTTCACCTGCAACATAATCAAGAAGTCTTCTGCCATTTTGTTGTTGTCTCATGAATTGGCCTTGACCTTGTTGATTATGTGGGTGTTGGTAGTATTGGCCATATGGGTGAGGTTGGTATGGGTGTATAAAAGGAGGAGGTGGGTAAGGATAAGGGTATGTGTATGGATATGGTGGAGGTTGGTTTTGGTGATTTTGGTAGTTTTGGTAGGGGTGTGGTGGATAAGGGTTGGGTTGTGTTTGAGGAGGAATTTGTTGGAAATTTTCAAATCCAGGGGGTCTTTGATCTCCAAAGAAAGGATTATGTCTATCTCTAGGAGTATCAATGGGTGTATTTATAGGGGTATTTTGTGGTGGCGTAGGATTTGGATTTGAAATTTGGTTTTGGCTATTTGGATTATTGGGATTGTTGTGAAGGTCCTCCATGATCTGATTTGGAATTTTAAGTTCAAGGATTTGGGCCTTTCTTCTTTTCCTTAATTCTTTTTCAAAATCAAGGTTAAGTGGTTGCAATCCTTCACTCCCTTGAGAGCGAGTATGCATACACTATTTTTTTTTTTGTTTTTTTTTTACAATTGGAAACTAAAAACAAGTGATGATAACAGGAAATAAAAACACTTAGTCTCCAAATAAATAAAAACAAACACTAATATTAACTAATAATCAATCAATAAAACTATGCCATTCCCCGGCAACGGCGCCAAAATCGTGACATGCCAAAATGTGTAGTGTGAAATGGTGTAAAAATGTGAATGGAAATGATGTTTTAATTGGCTTGTAACGATATAGTATAGAGTAAGTGAGTATCGTTCCGCTAGAGAATGGCTCAAAAAGAGAACTAGAATTAATGATTGATTTTTAGCTAATCACAAATTGATAACATTTTGCAATGGAGCTAAGTGAACATATTTTTTTATCTTGTTTTTATAAATGTGAAATTGCTAGGAAATAAAATAAATCACAATACTTGATAATTTAACAATTAATGATATAGAGAAAATTAGGCTTGGGCTAAGAGTAAATTTATTATGATGTTCATAAATAATAAAGATTTAACTAATTAACTTAATTACTTTTAGGTGTGTGAAAGATTTACAAATGGTAATCTTCTAATCGTTCCCACGACTTAGTTGATTACACTATCTTAATTTAATTCCGCTCCCGCGGTAATTTTATTAAGACAGTAAAAAGTACGAAATCAATTTATCCTAAATTCCTTAACACTTCCATGTAGTAATTTAGTGGGTGAATTAAATAAATGGATTTTAATGAAATTTCACTCCCGTGATAATATTCATTTCCAATATTAATTTATTTAGCAGATTATAGTATTCAACCCAACACTCCTAAAATTAACCAGTTAATAGTTTTAACCAATTATTATCTTATGAACATTAATAGTAAAAATAACATCTTGCCCAAACCTAAACTAATTTAGTTACACATAATTATAGTGAACAATATAAAAGTAAAAATTCATGCTAGACATATTTAACTTAACAGATTAAAGAAATTAAAGTGAGTGTTTAAATAAGAACCTGAAGGCATAAATAATGAAGAACATAGATGAACTGGAACAGAAAAGCTGAAGTCCTTGTATTAATCTGGAACTGATCGAACGAACTGATAATTGCAAATGAACTTTAATACCAAATATCACAAGCTAATATTTTGGAACTGAGAATTACAAACTGAAATCTATACAGAAAGTGTTCTTGGCAGAATCACTTTTATTTTATTGCTACTACTATGAACAAAGCTAAAGAAAGAAGAGGATGATTCCTCTCTGAATTGGTGTGTTTTCGCAGCTCCCAAATGGCTCTTTATATAGGCAACTTCAGAATAGCTTGGAGCACAAAAGTCATATGATGAAGATGGTGATGGAATTGAGTTCCTATTGAAGAATAGTGCTCTGGACTCATTTTTCTTCTTCTGCGGCGCCTGTCATGAACTTTGATTGAGCTTCTTTTGGTTTGTTGCTGAATGGTGAAGATGATACGTGTGTAGAGCTTCAATTGTGTGGAAGAAACTAAAGTCATCACTATTGAATGGGTCCCTCTCATAATGCAATGTATTTATTTCTTTTCATTCTTGGGAGCTTCCTACGTATGGAGTTTCACTCATAATAAGGAGTGAATAGTACCTGTCAGCCAAAGTTTTGGCTTGTATCCGCCACTTGCATTATTTGACCGGTTAATTGTTTGATCAGTTAACTGGTCAGCAATTAACCGGTACGTTTTATTGCGGACAGTCTGACTTATTCTAAAATGTATTTCGGGACTCTTGATAAAATATTCCGGAGTTAAAGTAAGAACCCACTTCACTTTGATGATTTTTCCGTCTTCATTCGGGAGTAATATTTATTTCTTTTCAGAAATTAATATTCGTCCCGAATTATCCTGAAACTCAAAAATATACCAAAACAAGTGCAATACCTTAAAATGTCCAAAATGATAAAGAGCATTCCTTTTTATTTAAAAATGAGAAATAAAGTATTAAAAGTGTGACAAAACAAGATCATAAATATGGTAAATTAGGAGTACATCATTCTGTTTCCCGAATATGCAGTCCTCGCATAAGCCAACCTCAACAGTCTTCAGGTCGGGCAGTTTGCCCTTCGAGCATGTAACACCCCGATTTTTATGAGCTAGTTATATTAATCTTTTATTTTATTTAGCCAGTCAAATAAGATTATTTTATGAATAATGTGATTTATTGTTTGATCATGTGTTTTTCTGGCAGGTAACGTTGACCGGTAGATGTCTTCTCCTTCTGATCCTTGATCTGCTCCTTGCACTGGCTCTTGAAGTGTTTGTACTCCTCACAGTTCCAGCACTTGATCTGACTTCTGTTCTTCTTGCCCTTATTGTTTGACTTGGATTTGGATCTTCATCTATTACGATTTGACTTGGACTTTGACTTCGCTATGCCCCGGTTCTCTGTACTCAACGCCGATCCAGAAGCCAGGCCTGTTTCCTTCCTGCGAATTTCTTCGCTGACCACCAGATTTCTGACTTCATCGAATTTCAGTTTCTCCTTCCCTGCCGAAGCGCTGACTGTAGTCATCGTTCCGTTCCAGCTTTCCGGGAGAGAAGACGGCAGAATTAGGGCATGAATTTCGTCGTCGAATTTTATCTCAACCACACTCAACTGTGTGGTGATTAGATTGAACTCGTTGAGATGCTCCACAACTCCCGTACTTTCTGACATCTTTAGGTTAAAAAGATGTCTCATCAGTTGAACCTTGTTCGCAACTGATGGTTTCTCGTACGTATCCGATAATATCTGAAACATCTCCTTCGTCGTTTTTGCTTTGACGGTGTGTAGGGCGATGTTTCTGGACAACGATAATCGAACCACGCTCATCGCCTTGTTGTCCAGCAACTTCCAATCGCTCTCCTTCATGTCTTCCGGCTTATCGTCCAGAGGTTGATACAAATCTTTACCGTCTGGTAATCTTCGATCTGCAACTTCCAGAATCCGAAATCTGTTCCGTGCATCAACGGTGTCTTCAAATTGTCTGTCATCGTGAGATCACCCTTCGAACCTAGGGCTCTGATACCAATTGTTAGGAATTAAACTCACGGACGCGAAGAACAATAACGAAGAACACGCGAAATTTGGTAACCCAGTTCGCCACGAATGACTACGTCTGGGGCGCTACCAAGCCAGGAATATTATTGCTATTTTCGGATTCACACATGATTACAAGGGAGAGAGCTTGTATTTATAGAGAAGTAAAACCTAACCCCAAGGCAACTAGGATGCGTTTCCAAAAATAAATTAAGAAAAGCTTGGTTATACAGTCTCTAACACCTTACATGGCAACCCTCGTTCTCATCTTATTAGCCAAGCTTTTTTTTAAATACTAAAAACGTAGTTTTGACTTCACGCGCTGAATTGAGAAATTATTAAAATAATTCAAGCTAGGGTAATTTTTTCCGGCGAAATTGGATGAAGTTGGGATATTTTCAGTTAGACTAAAATTTTCTGGTCTTAACTAGTCTATTCTGATTCGGTAAATGTATGGTCTTAATATATTTTATATTTGTCCAAGTTTTGTCTGATCTGAATTGGTCTAGTTTGGTCTAGTTTAGGACTGAGAATAGTCCAAGTAAAATCATTCTTACTGTAGAACACCGTTTTACCTATTTACTTGTCATTTTTTCTCAAATTTATTAATCAAATACATTTTAAATACTCCCTATGTTCTCTAATACTTGTTCCTCTTTCCATTTTGAGATGTTTTCTAATAGTCTCCCTTTCCATTTGTATAAAGTTTTATCAATAAATATACCTTTATACCCTTATTACCTTTCCTACTTTTTTATTTAAACACAACTCACTACACATTTATCTTACCCCTATTAAATCCTTCTTAAAACTTGTGCCAAAGGCTATACTCCCATCTATTAGAGAACGGAGGGAGTATAATTTTTTCAATAATTCAGTTAATGCAACCACTTCAACCAGTATTTCATTATTTTAATGTTATCAAACGGGCCTAGTGTATCCAAATAGGGAATTGATTTATGTGCTCCTAGAATTACTAAACCTAACTCATGTAAGACAATTTAGAAGCTGTTCCGTTCACCTGATCTGAATGTTTCTGATCTGAATTTTTTAAGTTCTGATCTGATCTGATCTGAATTTTTCTGATCTGATCTGATCTGAATCTTTCTGATCTGATCTGAATCTTTCTGATCTGATCTGAATCTTTCTGATCTGATCTGAATGTTGCTGAACTGATCTGAATGTTGCTGATCTGAATGTTTCTGATCTGATCTGAATGTTTCTGATCTGATCTGAATTCTTCTGATCTGATTTGAATATTTCTATAATTGTAATTGTAATTACAATTATAATTATTAGATTTATAATTGTAATTAAAAATATAACTTAAATAAAATTACAATTATAATCATAATTATAAAAATAATAATAATTAAAATTAAATTTAAAATTATAATAATTATACCAATTACACTAATTATAAATACAGATACAATTATAAATGTAATTATATTTTTAATTATGATTAATTTTATAATTATTATTATTGTAATTATAATTATAATATTTATTTCTATAGTCATAATTATGTCTATAATTACTAATTTAAATATATAATTACTCCGAAGTAATAATAATTACAACAATAACAACAAGAACAACAATCATATTAATAATAATGATGATTATAATTATAATTACATTGTAAATCATAAATATAATTATAATTATAAATATATTATATTATATTATATTATATTATATTATATTATATTATATTATATTATATTATATTATATTATATTATATTATATTATATTATATTATATTATATTATATTATATTATATTATATTATATTATATTATATTATATTATATTATATTATATTATATTATATTATATTATATTATATTATATTATATTATATTATATTATATTATATTATATTATATTATATTATATTATATTATATTATATTATATTATTATAATATAATAATAATTTTATATTATTAACATTATTATTATATTATTATTAATAATATTATTATATTAGTATATTAATATTATTAACAATAACTATAATATAATAATCATAATTAATATAATAATAAAAGTGATAAATCATGTTTGAATTTTTTGACCTGATCTGATCTGAATGTTTCTGATCTGATCTGAATGTTTCTGATCTGGTCTGATCTGGTCTGAATCTTTCTGATCTGATCTGAATGTTGCTGATCTGATCTGAATCTTTCTGATCTGATCTGAATGTTTCTGATCTGATCTGATCTGATCTGAATCTTTCTGATCTGATCTGATCTGAATAAAATAAGATTAAGGAATAAGTAATAAGATTAAGACGAACGGAACAGCTTCTTAATCCTTTTTAATTTTCTTTTACTAAAAGTGATTCTCGTTACATTCTAAATACCCCTAACATTTTTTTTAAATTTCTAAGGTGCAGTTGAAAAGTTTTGCATTGAGAGTAATTTTTAACTTCTTAACGTTCTTTAAATTTAAGTTTTTTTTTAAGTTCATTTTGTTAAATATATTGTGTTCTTACTTAGTTCTATTTCATCAATTTGACGCGAAGTTCAAGATAAAATTATTAGTATTAATATATTTTGAAATGGGAGAAATATTAAAAATAAGACTTTGAACTGCGATTTTGTTTTATATTTGGAATACATGTACCTTAAATTAATTAGTTAATTTATAATGGCTTTTAGTACTCGTAATTTTAAACCATATATGCACTACAAAGAATTCTCAACATATTATTTTTCACTTTTCAAATGATAAAAAATAATAAGAACAAATTCCACTTTTAGTCCTCCGAGTTTTGCACCAATTCCACAATTAGTCCTAGTCTTTCACTTTATCCATTTTTGGTACCTGACTATTGTTTTCTTGACCATATATAGTCTTTTTCCGGTAGTAAAAATGCCCAAAGATGGACCGAAAATGGTCAAGAAAACAGATACCAAAAATGGATAAAGTGAAATACGAGGACTAAATATGGAAATGACACAAAACTCGGAGGACCGAAAGTGGAATTAATTCAAATAATAATGTTAAATAACTCTAAAAGCATTGATATATGCTTAAACTGAAAAAATAGTCCAATTAAAAATATCTTTATTGTTCTTATTAGTATTGCATCCTGAAATTAGAATGCATAGAATGTTTCGATAGATTTGTTCTGATCTAATATGGAGACATGGAGTTCTAAAGATTGGGGATGGTTTACTATTTCGAATTGAACTGAAATTTTATGCTCTAATGTCATTTGAATTGATCTTATCTGATTTTCATTTAATCTTATTTGGTTAACATATTATCTGAGCATTTTCAATTCTTTTTGCCAATCAAATTTACCTCATTCAAGTAGCATTTAACACCGGACATGTATCATCAAATCATATTGTGAATTTAATAATGCGAAGGAGGGAGCATAAAAAGACACCACATTAGAGAATGAGGTCGTCATTTCCACCCCATAATTTGACATCACAAAGATTGCGAATGTATCTTTGGAGCTAGAAAGTGATACTGCACTGTAGAAAAGTCATCAACATTAAACGGTTAGTTTGATGATTTAATTTTTCCCGAACGGTCGAAACTCCAAACATACCAATATACCATAGGGATGCAACAAATTAAAATCTCGCACAATCTGGATGGACGAGAGCTAGAAAAGTGTAGGGAAATTAAACCCAATAAAATCAATCAGAAATCCATGTTCATCAAATTACTAAGCGGCTCCGGAAAAGGAAATGCTAGCTAGCTAGATGCCTAGAACAGCTGAACACGGACAAAAAACAGATTCAAAAAACACATCAATCCAAGTATTTGAACTGGATCCATCCACCTCTCTGATCCGATGATATATACACACAGAGAATGTGAAGCTAAGCTAGAATAGGCGGAAATGGAATTGAATTGAAGCTTGAATCGCTAGTTCCTCCTTGCTAGTACTGGAAATCTGGAAATGTATGTATGAATCAATCATGCCAGCAGATTAGCATAACGATGCACCGCCTGATAATAAACAGCCTCCCCTTTTGCTCTTTAATGTGCACTCCGAACCCGCGGCGGCGCCCCCGCCCCTTACCAGAAAACGCCGCCTTCTGCGCCTTCTTATTTATAACCCAACCGCCGCCTTCTCCCGGCCGCATTACACACGAGTCGTCATCAGAACCGCCGCCACTCTGCTGCCGCCACCGCATGTTGATATGCCCGCACTTAAATTCAATTGTCTGAGCCGCCGCCGTTACGCCGTCTATGAGGTCAATTATTGATCTGATGACCAGCGACGTACTGCAACAACCCATGCAATCCCTCTTCTTATATACCAAGTACTCCGTATATTCCCAAATAAGGGGGGCCGGGAAAAAAAGAAACAGAGAAAGACAGGCAATTAATTGATCTAAAGAAATTTAGCTAAACTGAATCAAAATTTCAAAACACAAGCACCATATTTTTTGTATCTTAGTTCCCTTTTTAGTTTGGATATTTTTAGTTTGGATGATATTCACTCTTAGACCAGGCTAGACATAAATAGATCAAATCAGACCGCATTTAAACAAAACAGACATACCAAATTTGAATAGTTATAAAATAAACAGATATCAAACTTTTACGAGTTAGACTAGTTCAGATCAGACCTGAAAATGTTTAGTCAATTTAAAAACATCCTTATCCTTAGTTATTATTGCCTTTTCTAATCAATTTTAATCATTCTTTTTAAATAACATACCTAATATACTTATTACGAAGTCATAAATTTTATACTTTTGAAATTCCATGTTTAACAAGCTAAAAATCATTTCCATCTCACTTTCATATGCTAAACAATTTCATATTCATATATAAAGATACTATTTGTCAAAGTTTAGTATCATTGATTGAAAATGTCTAAATTTATTAACTAAAAAGAGAGGGATGAAGTATTTATTCCATTACTTTTATGCCCTTGAAAGATAGTGTGTGACTATATACAACCATATTCAAAGACGTGTAGTGCCAAAGTAGGATAGTAAGAACGTGTTTGGAATTGATTCTGCTTATATCTTTTTCTTCTAAATGTAAATGTTGAATCGGAATCAGTTTTTAAGAAGCTAGACTCACTCGACTAAGAAGTACTTTTACATTTTCATCCTAACATACCAATATCTGCTTACTCTTTCATGTATCAAAAGCAATTTTAAGAAATAGATCCAAACACCCCATAAATTAATTCGATATAAGAAGAAAATATAGTACTAGAATGTTGCATTGTTTTTAGTATGATTAGATGCATGTCAATATGTGATATACCACTTACCACAGGTTTAATCAGGTAGCTAGTATAATTGAATTGAAGGAGGGAAAAAGAATAGAATCATGTTAGTTAATTAGTTCTTCATTTAGCTAGTATTAAGAATGAACAGTAGTATACAGGCTGGCTATTAGGCATTTGGTGCCCCATGCCCCATGCCTCCTCCCCACACAGTGTTTGGTCCTTAATTCCATCCATAATTAAGAAGACACTACAAGAAAGATGCACTTTCCCTACAAATCACATTGGTATGGAAAGACCATTTTTTGTATTCTAAGACCTTTCCATACAATGTTTTTTTGTGGTGTGATTTGTGACGAAAACCTTGTGGGCAAAGGCTTTAGGCCACAAAGTTTAGAATTTTCTATGCTAAAATATATGAAGACAAATCTTTAGCACACAAATAAATTTCCTTGGCTTAGCTCTTTTGCAACAAATATATTTGTGGTAAAAAGGTATTTACACCAACAAATTTTCTTGTAGGGAAATCATAAAGAGCACAAACGTCACAAGATAACATACGAGTTTGCAACATACTATACTTTCGTATGCAAAAGTTAATTTGCATCGATATAGTGATAGAAATCATATTCTTGCAGCCACAAATACATATTTTAATATAATGACTAGACCAATGTATACATATGAAGTAACAGGTACAAAAACAATAGATACTCTGATCTGATCTTCATTCTTTCATAATGAAAGAAAAAGTAATATCTTAAAATGTTTTGATCTAGTCTATAATAAGTTAATCTAATATCAAAAAAATAACCGCTTCTGGCCATGAAGCCCATGATTATCTTAATCAAGATCATATGGTTCATCTTCAACCTCATCATCAATATCAACTGGTAATGCTGTAAAAGGTGGTAGAATAAACCCCGGGACATTACTGTACGACTGTTGTAGTGAAGTGTGCCATGCCTCCAATGTTGAATTGAATTGTTTTCCCATAACCTTTATTTTCTTTTGTAACCTTTTCTCTGTCTCTAATCGGGCCATGTCAGCAGCTTTTCTCGCAGCACGTTCAACGGCTAACTCATTCTCCATATGCTTTTGTTTTAAATTGGTATCCCGAAGACGTCCATCTCCACAACCACGAATTCTCCGCCCAGGCTTTACACCTAGAACAGATACCATAATATCAAGTCCAGCATCCGGATTATCAACAGGTACCTCTTCTAAGGGAGTATCTTCAGGAAGTTGCTGCTCTCTTATCACACCCAAGAGATACTCATCTGTTTTTTCTAGCATTTCATCCTGCAGTTTTTAGATAAAGTTAATTAGTACCAACGTAATATAATAAATACCTTTTTCACTGGTTATATACAAAGACAGTACATATACGAATGATATTGTTTCATTCATTCAATCAATACTATGTTTATGAGTCCTAATTTCAGAATTTCACCATCCACCGGTGCTCAGTTTTCTCCTTGAATACGAATGGCTTTTTCACCCTCTTCTTCACCATTTAGTCTCCCCTCTTCTAAGTACAGTTCGTCTTCACCTATATACATGCAATCAGGATATATACAGTCCATCCTCACCCAACTATAGCCCTGGCTCTTCCTCCGGTTATAGCCTTACCTCTCTCGCATATTTTCTAGCATACAGTCCATCCTCACCCAGCACACAGCCCTACAACTTCTAGGTATAGTCCTACATCACCAAGCTATATTCCCGCGCGGGAACAGTTCCTAGTGGGAAAATCAAGTTTGGAAACCAATACGGCTGTGGCGAGTAAGGATTTGCCGAAAGCTTTTCTAAAGGCAGTGTTTGTTATATATCTCAAATTGGTGGATGAGTGAAACAGTTAAAGCACTAAATATTCGAGTTCATCTGATTTTGTTAATAATGTGTATAACATAATATCCAGCTATACTCCAATTTTAGAAATGTTTCTCATTCTCAAAATAATAGCTACACACAGCTATAGTCTGATCATAAAAAATTTTAGTGATCAAGTTGTATTGCTTTTCATGAAATAAAAAATAGCTATAAGTTGTAGCAAACAACGTATCTTACATGTTGAGCCTTAGCTTCGTCACTCTTCCAAGACTTATCTTTTCCAGTGTAAGTATATTCAAATGTGTCAACTTCAGGAAATTTTGAACCACCCTTTGAGCAAAAAACAAAAAAAAAGAACTCAATTACTATATATGTATATATATATATATTAAAATCTAAAGATTTTGCAAGTGAATAAGTACTATTTATATAACTTATTACCGCTGCCATTTCCTCTACAATGTATGCGATGGGGCGAGAACCTGTGCGGTGATTGTGTTTTTTCTTAGAACGGTTGCTTGTATTAGCTACGGAGGATTTCTGTACAAGATAGGTTTTAATTAGACCACAAACAACTCATGTAATCATCAATAATGAAAATTATAATAAACAGTGCGTATATACCATGAATTTTTCAGAACTGAAATGATCACACAACTTGGTCCATTCATCAGCATCTCTATCTTGCATCCCTCGAGGTGGTGTTTCCAATGCCTTCTCAAGTGTTTTGCATGACTTGAAGTATTTACTTAGCTCAGCCTTGAACTCTATGTACCTTCCAGCATAAAGTCTGGAGATATAACCCTTCATCTCCTTGTCTTGTAGGTCCACATCAAAGTTTGTCTAATTTGGTGTTAAATGGGACAACGAGCATATTTAGAATACAACAAGAACTACTGAAATAATATTTCGATTAAAAGATGAAGTATATATGTTAATATCACATATATATTCTTTTTCTTATGAAAAGTTTATATGTTCAATTTATGACACTTGAACTTACAGTTATCTCATCTATGAGGTCCGTCATAGTGTTAGAAGAAATTGTACTCCAGTACCCTGTATCCATTGGGCAATGTGTCCTCACAATAGCTCCAATGTCATGAACTAATAGACTATGTATCTCTGCACTAGTTGCACGTCTAGTCACTCCATTGTATACAACTTTAAGTCTTTGTCTAGTGGTCCGCACCATACGTGAAGTTTTAATCTGTTTGCACGGCCCTCGTGTTGGAACCTCACTGGTGGTCCTCGGTGAGGAGATAAAGTCTATCATTCCAATCAAAAGAAAAATCCCAACATAAGTTGTGTCTTATCATATACTCAATTATATTTAAATAATAACACATGGTGAACATGAAACCAAACTATACCATTCGCTTCATCACTTAGTGCTTCATCATTATCTTTCTGTCCATGATTATTGTTGCTTGGTGGTGAAACTATAAAACATCAGTCTTGTTAAGATAACATAAGTAAAACTCATAACTTTTACAATTTAATTTAAATAAAATAAAAAGTATGGCATAATAAACAATTTAAAAGTAAAAAAAAATGAACATTATCAACTAAATATATAAGAAGTCAAAGTACGAGGAGGAATCATTACAAGCTCCAGAAGAACTGTTGGGATGTGTAGTGTCCCCTATGATCTTTCTTTTAGGAGCAGTACCAATTGACACATTTGATCTTTGAAAAGTCGAGTTCGACTGTGTTCTAACTTCTTTAGTTGGAAACATGAATTTGTTGATGGGGGGCGTATTTCTTTGAGGTGTGGGAGCAGTACACCTCTTATTAGGTGGCAATGAGTTTCTTAGTGGCAGTGAGGATATATTAGACGATTTACGATTTACAGTTTTTGTTTCTAATGTGGGAGGCATATCTGTTGTTGTCACTCTAGCATTTTTGTAGGTTGAGGTTGTCGTTGAGTTAGTCTCCTTCTTCTTTTGAGAAATGAGCCGCATCTATACAAAATAACATAACTTCATTATGTTAAGAAAATGATATCTTCAAAGAGCACAATATATAAAGCTAGATAAAAATCAATTATACAATTCAGTTAGTAGTTAAAGTTTTGGAATGTTATGAGACTCAATAATCTAAATTCCTATCTTCATCAAAATCGTCTTCAAAGTTTCCATCATTACATTGAGTTGTAAGACATTGAAAGTAGGAGCAATATATTAAATCATTAACCAATCTCAATAGATATATCACAGATTTTATTCCTTACATACCTAGTCCTATAGAATTAGTAGTTGGAAAATATATGATTCCAACTACATTTGTAGGGAAAGTTGCATTGTGTGGTAATCTCAAAACTCATGAAAAAAATTCTAAACAAAAGAATTATTAATGTGTCCAATATCTATATGCTATAATTATAGCAAGGTTTTTTTTTGGAAGAAATATCAAGACTCAAGAGTAGGTACAAATGGTAGTGCCCAATCAGTTCAAATCATGTTAGGAAAACTATATTCAAATTAAAGCAAGAAATTAAAGCAGCAGAATCTTACCTTGATGAAATTTGCTCTAAGTGACTAAACCCTGCACCAAAAGGAAAGAAAAGCTTGAGAACGACAAGAACTGGGCACAAAGACTGCCCTTTAGAAAGGCAAAATCCTTTTTCAAAATGTTTCAGACTTCACCAGGAAAATAAATCAAAATTACAAATGGCGTATAACTGAAGCATACAATGGTTGTATGGAAAATGAAAATCAAAGTCTAGAAATAGGGGGGAGGTAGTGCTAATATTTTCATTTTAGGAGACGCTTTGACATTACATAATCTTTTTCTCTCTTTTTTTTTTACTTTCATTAGCATATCATTCTTTTTTTCGTCTGTTTTTAACTCAATTAACATAGGTGTTCATTTTTTACATTACTTGGGACTCCCTGGAATAAACAATGAGATAAACATGAACATAATTCTACATTTTCTTTTTGAAAATGACTTCCACCTCTTTTATTTATCAAACTCATAATGTGATTCTTGAAACCGGAATACTAAATCATTCTAAATTGTATGGATGTGTTATATTTATCAAAAATATTATGTGTTTCTTGAAACAAGTATACTCAATTTTTCGGTCCTTTCTGTGCATAACAACTCAGATAAAATGGGTTCCCATGAATTGCACATTTAATTGAAGCAAATAAAAGATGCAAACTGGTTATCATGTTCTTTTGCCTAGACATAGAAGCCTTTACTTTTCAATTTAACAATTGGACAGAGCAATACATCATTCGGGACTTAGATACCATGGGGAAAAGGTAATAACACAAAAGACATACATAAATTAACACTTTCAGCATCTATAAATTCATAAAAAAGTTCAAACCAGATGAGTTATTGAACGGAACTAAAGTAATTAGATAGTGAATCCACGCATACCTTATAGAACGAGTTCTATATTACATACCTTCCTACTCAGCGCAACGAGAAGCTATGTTTTGAACGGGGGATAAAACTGTATAACCTCCGGCAGCCACAAATTGTTCTGTCTGACCTTACCTGCGATTAAAAGTCGTATTATGAGAAAACCAACAACCTCTTCAACTAGACATTCATACGGACTATTCTAAATATCCCTAGTTCATTTGGAGATTGGCGAGTGCAAAAATGAAGGAAGAAGAAGACACAAACCAGAGAGCGGCAGGATGTAAAAAACATTGGCGTGCAGCGTACTACTCGGTAATATTTAGGTCAAAAAATGGGTGGGAAAATTTTGGATTGGAGCCAAATTGAGCTTTTCATTAGCGCCTCTTTCGTGAAATTCCAGATACCGCCAGAGAGAATGCCGCTTGGTTATTGTTTTCTAATTAGTGCCTGCTTTTAATTTTTATTCATATACGGATTATTGATTTGTTTTTGGGCCATTTTTTTAATGTTAAAGTAGTAAGCCTCAATAGTCTAAAACTTTCTTGGTTGAAGTAAAAAGTGCTTAATACTTCTTCATCATGGGATCAAGTTAGGAGGTTTTTATCGATCATTTTAGTAATACTACATGTTAACTTTAAAAAATCACCTTAAAGCTAAAGATAAACATATGTATATATAGATATATCGCACAATAAACTTTTTCTTGTTAGGAAAAACGATATTTGCCTACAAATTTGATTTTGTATCATACCAGTCAAACATTTGTGGCCAAAATACTATCCCTAAGAAATATTGCTTTGTAGGGATATGAGAACTTACCACACACATATTTTTTGTATGGAGAAGAAAATTTGTATGAAAACATAAGCACCTACAAAGTACTTAATTTGTGGGCAAAGTACGTCTTTACCAACAAAGTTAATTTCGTATGCAAAAAAATTGTAGGGAAAGGGTGAAAATCTAGTAGTGAGACACAGTGCGTTTTTCAATTAGTAAGTCGGCCGGCCACATCCGGTTAAACTTTCATTATCCGGGCGGCCCTCATTGTCAAAACCCCAGGAACACACTTAATTGCTACCATTACCCCAACCATTAGCTACTATATCATGAAGCACCGACATGATCACACAAGGTAAATCATCCCCATCCACCCTTCCACTTCGACCAGACTTAGCTTAAACAAATTTGGGATAAGATTAAACTAAAACAAACCAAATTGAAAAGTTTTAGTACAATAAAAACCACTTTCTAAATGAATAAGTCAGTAACCCCATGCCCGTTTCAACTTATCAATCATTTTTTTAACCAAATACAAAGTTTTTGATTTTGCATGTTGAATTATGTAATGATGAAAATAAGTAAGAAAATAAGTAATTAAGATTAATGTTACTTTTTTTATTGAAATTATTGTAGATGACCACTTTACTTATTAATGAAATTATTGAAATCATTCTTTCTTAGTTTTATTAATGAAATATATATCAAATGTATTTTTTTGCATAATTCATCAGATTCAATATATTCAATTATTTCAGCCAAAATTTCATCAATTTCGAGTTTTCAACTTATACCGACGATTTAATCAATTTCACTATTACGAAACCATTTTAAATAAAGATGCAACTACTCACCAGACCGGCCATTATATTGAAAGTGTGGAAGACATCTTAATTTGTTTGTTTATTTATGGTACAGATCTAATACTGGATTCCTAGTGTTTGCATATCTGTAGATCGAGTAGGTCTTGCATGAGACAACATTCGAGTCAATTCGTACGTACGAGATAAAAGTGATATACTGATATGGAGTACATATTTTCAATAACGCTATTTTTTGATCTACCAACACCCTAAGCAATTCAAAGGGAAAAAGTAAATGTTAATCGGAAATAGTAATTTCCCGATGATTAGTTCACTGATTTTGCTTTATGTTATGGGATTGTAAATAATTTCATAATGTTTAGTTCACTCATATGATTTTGCCTTATGATATCTGAATGCTTTTTGCTCCTTATTTCTATCATTAATAAATAAATGTATTTACTCTAAATAAATGTTCATTGATTTTGCATCGGAAAATTCATATCAAAATGAAATAGAGCAAGTTTATTTTAAACTTTTATTTTTTTTTTACTTTTCTAGCTTCTTAGTGTTTATACATCCTACAAGTATATTCCTTTTTATTAGTCGTAACATGTAGAATTGTACACTATTTACATGCTCTACTTTGACTACATTTCTTTTATTAATGTATGAGATTTTTTGAAAAAATATTGGATTTATCTCATTATAACTTTTCAAATTCCGATCTTTTGTTTTTTATACTAATATACAATTAAATATATTGGCGATCAATATTGTGTGTCGACGAACGTCAAATTAAGATGGTTACATCTAACAAGAAACAGTGGAAGTACGTATAATATTAGAACAGTATTAAAAACAAAAAGAATCTGATCACATAATAAACATTAATTAATCAAGTTTCAAATTGTACTTTTATTACTTTCGTTGTGGATTAATTCTTCTAAACTTTCCTCTTCCCTTTCTTTCTATGGCATTTTCGACCACAAAACAGACCCTTAAACCAACCATTAATGATAGCCCCTCCCTCCTACATTTGCATTTTTACTTGTATGAAAAATAACTAAAAAATGACAAATTTACGGTTGGCAGAGGTCTTTTATTTCATACTCCAATCATGATACATATGAATTAGGGCGGGCTGAAGCACGTGTAACTTGTTTTTCTTCAACTTTGTAAGGTAATTTTTTCATTTTTCATATTTAGTCTACTCCGCTTACATTTAAACCCAATATAGTTGCTCTTTAGCCCGGGCATCTGAGATTACTAGATTGATATAGGCCAAAGTATTCCAAGATAACATGCTTCAAAGTTTAAACTAGGAGCAGTAGTAGTGTAGGACGTAACGATTGTATTAAATAACTGGGCACGTGAAGTAGGAAAAAAGCACGTTACATAACTCCCAGTCCAATGAAGTACAGAGAATCTGCTTAAGTAATAAATGAGTAATTAAACGCATCTGAATTTTGAAATCCAAGGATGACTATTGCATTATACACAACTCAATTATGAAGCTAGCTAGCGGGTCCGGTCTAGACTTTTTATTTTTATTTTCCATACACATAGGTTGTTGGTGTAATATAATAGAAGCTGCCAAACAAGCTAGCAACAAAAATTATTAGAGAGCATGTGAAGATCACAAGACATATGTATGGTCTGTGTCTGCAGTTGGCCAAACAACCTTTGTTCATTATATTCTTCTAACCCACACCCTCGTATTTGAAGAGAATTAACTACTTTTGTCTATCTATCACTCCCCATAGGCATGTACCCCATCCGGTCTGGTCCCGGTTCTGGGGTGAGAGCGGTCGGTCTTTGCCCAAAAAAGAGAGACTCGAGACTGGCCAAACATCAAGAGATTCCGGTTCGGGTCTGGTAGACGTACCGACCCGCCTAATCCCGGTCTCGGTTCAGACAAAATAGAAAAAACAAAATGGTTGGAGATTGGACCAATCCAGGTCAGAAAAATGGTACCTGGGTCCAAATAACACGGCCCGAGAGGGAGGGGTAGGGGTAGGCACGGGTCGGGAAGGTCCAGGATTAGTTTATCCCGGTCCCGACCTAATTACTAATAACGGTACGGGACGAGAAATGCCTTTGTCCTAGTCTTGTTCCATTTAAATCGGGACCAGGATAATTCGGAACAATTCAAGACGTCCCAAACTAACAAAAGAGTATTAAACAAAAAAACCACCATTTACAATTAAAATATATTAGCATTTCTAAAGTATCATGCACCAAGTTAAAGAACGGAAATTCTCCTAAGGAGTATAGTGAGAGAGCTTCTCTCTCTAGGAGTATAGTGAGAGAGCTTCTCTCATGAGGTCCATGAATGCCGCGGGGGCATTTGTAAGCCCAAACGACATCACTAGGAACTCATAGTGACCATACCTTGTACGGAATGCACTTTTGGGTATGTCACTCTCCTTGATCTTTAGTTGATGGTAGCCCGACCTCAAGTCGATCTTGGAGAACACGGTTGCCCCCCGTAATTGATCAAACAAGTCGTCAATCCTTGGCAAAGGATATTTGTTCTTTATTGTGACCTTGTTCAATTGACGGTAGTCGATACACATTCTCATTGTACCATCCTTCTTCTTTACAAAGAGTACGGGTGCTCCCCATGGTGAATGACTCGGTCTAATGAATCCATTATCTAGTAGCTCTTCCAATTGAACTTTCAATTCTTGAAGTTCAGCCGGTGCCATTCGATACGGAGGAATTGAGATGGGCTTGGTGCCTGGTTCAACCTCAATCTCAAACTCGATCTCCCGATCTGGTGGGAGTCCCGGGAGTTCTTCAGGGAAAACTTCTGGATACTCACTCACCACCCTCACCTCCGTGAGGCTCTTTCCTTTGCCTTCCTTGCCTATGACATAGGCTAAGTATGCTTGATAACCTTTCTTCATCAAACGCCTCGCCCTTAAGGCCGATATGATACAGGGATTGAATTTTCCTCTATCTCCCTCGAAGCATAGAGTATTTCCCTCTTCGTCTTCTAATTCTAACACCTTGGTGTAGCAATCTACCTTTGCATGGTGTTTCTCAAGCCAGTCCATGCCGAGTATGGCATCGAATTCAAGCATGTCTAACGGTACAAAGTCGCCCATTAGACGGTGCTCCCCTATCCCCACATTACATGAAGGATAGTAGTGCTTCCTCTCTACATCATCTCCCAACGGTGTAGAGACCAACAAAGGTTGTGTCATCGCCGTTAATGGTATGTCCAAACCCTCGGCAAACGCTTCGCTCATAAATGAACGTTGCGCCCCGGTGTCGATGAGAATTCTCGCTTGTCTACCGTTGATCTTTAGTGTTCCTACATATATAAGTCATGTAAGACACACTACTCAACGTCCCGACTGAAAAGGACTGAACGAAAAAATATTCTAGCTTGGGGCCACCCTATACCCGGTCGGGTAACTCTCCATACCCGGTCGGGTAACACTCGGGCTCCTAAGAAGAAACTCCCTGTCAACACTGCCCGGTTGAGTATATGTCTATACCCGATCGGGTATCATTCAGGTTTTTAAACAACAACCCCCTGTAATTTCTGCTCGGTCGAGTACACACCTCGAACCCGAACAAACATCTATACCCGGTCGGGTATATGCCCATACCCGGTCGGGTATCACTCAAAGTTTTAAACGAGGAGCTTCCTGCCCACGACGTTCGATCGAGTACACGCCTCGAACACAAAAATTTACTAATACTCGATCGAGTATATAACCATACTCGGTCGAGTATGGCTGGATTTGTCAAAACTGAAGGGTCCTGCTAAACTTGCTCGAACGAGTACAAACCTCAATCTTGAAGAATTTCCCATACCCGGTCGGGTCTATAGGGATACCCGGTCGGGTATTACACATTTTTCGAATGTTTTACTTCAAACGAATGAATAAAACACATGTGAGGTCAAAAGATTACCTGCAATGGAGTCCGGATTGGCCCGAGCGTCAGCCTCGGTCATTGCGTACACCCGTGCCTGGGTCCTCCCTTGGTTAACGGACGCGGCGTTACTAGCCGTGGGTCCGCCCCTTCCTGTGCCGCCCTGAGATGGTCCCGCACGACCCCTACCAGACGTAGGTGCCTCGACAGCTCCCGATGGCCCACCTCCACTCAACATTGGGCAAGAGAGTTTGAGGTGGCTTGTGCTACCACACTTGTAGCACCGAGGTGGTTCATTGCACTTCCCGGAGTGATTCCTATTACAGTTTGGACACCTTGGTGGCCTCACGCTCCCCGAGCTATGCCCTTGCCCTCCTGGGCCCTTACTCTTCTTTGCCGGTGGCTCCGGCGCCCTGAATAATCTTCCATTCCCGGCGTGATGTTTCCGAGAATGGTCTTGGGGTCCAGAATTCCCCCATCTTCTCTTTTTCGCCTCTTCGGCGTCTCTCTTCTTCCTTTCATTCCACTTGGCTTCCCCAAGTAGCCCCTGGTCCACAATCTCACTAAAGGTCATGTGATGATTGTAGGTAGCCCGATCACGGATATCCAAGTGTAGGGTATCCCAGAAGTGATTAGCCATACGGTTCTCATCCATGGCGTACTCGGGTATGTACCGTGCCAAGTCCCGGAACCTTTGTTCCAGTTGCCTCACCGAGCAATCCTCCTCCTGTACCAGGGTCATGTACTCCTTCCTCTTCTGGTTCTTTTCGAACTCTGAGTAGTACTGATTATAGAATTCTACTTCAAATTTCTCCCAGGTGGTCTCACCGTGGAACTTTCCTTCCACGCCTTCCCACCATACCGCGGCTACTCCCTCCAGTAACCTGGTAGCAACTGTCAGCTTTATATCAAGCCCGATCTGCATATCCCTAGCAGCCTCATTTAGCTTCTTTATCCAATCGGCAGCCACTGATATATCACCCTTGCCGTCAAATGACTTGCACCCCAAGGCCCTAGCCTCCTTGAGGTATTTGGAGATTCTTACACAAAAACCTCCTCCATGCATTCCCTGTGACGCCACAGGTGTAGCCACTGATGCTCCCCGGCTTCCGTGACCTGAAGCCCCCTGAGAGGCACGCCTAGCTTGGCGCCTAAGATCTCTCCTCAACTTCTCCTTTTGATACCACTCAAACAGTTCACCCATCTGGGCGAATTTGGCATCACTCTCATCGTTGTCATCATCAGTATACGTATCACCCCCATCATATGGGGTCTCCTCATGTTCCGTCTCGGGAACATATGTAGAGTCATAATCCTCGGTGTGAGTCCCGTGCACCGAGCTAACATGGCCATCGCTCACGGTTTGAGCCCGACGGCCTCCCCGGCCTCCACGGCCTCCACGGCCTCTCCTACCGCCTCTCGCGCCCCGAGATGCAACCTGGCTAGCCCCTTCGGACGTCACCGGAGTTTGCCCTCTCGGGTTGTTCCTCGTAGCCATGCCTCTACCCTCCATTTCTGAAAGAAATTTGGAATGAGCCGTTAGACTCGTATCAATGTCAATTGACGGAATAGTACAAAAGACACCACTTGGTCCAACGTTATGGCCAACAAACTGTTAAGGGTACCGTCTTAACAATAAGAGGTCAATAACTTGGTTTCCAACGGTTCCTTAAGTACAAACACTTTTGCTCATGGTTTTGCTCAAACATTTTTGATGATACTATATTGAGAGGTTAATTATATAGTTTAGAAATCGATGGCTCTGATACCACTTAATTGTCACGCCCCGGACCGCATCCGTGCCACGTAGACAACCGCCGTACAACCCAATAAGAACAACGTAGTTCATTCTTATCAAATCATACAAGGCGTCCGATAGATTCTATTGCCAAACCGATTAGTAAACCCATACAATCAACATCAATATATAAATCAAACAAATGCGGAAATAAAATATGTTTGACATTTAGCCACACGTGGCAAACATGAGCACGCAGGCCCTTCAATAGTTTAATAGAAAACATCGTTCAAATATCCATGAGCAATTTCATAATTTCAAATAAGAATGGAAGCACGAACCACGTCTTCCTTATTTGAGTTCACCCTGGGCAAAGGTGCAGGTAGCAGGACTCTAGCCTCAACCTGAAAAATGTGAGGGCCCCCGAAGGGGTCAGTACTCCATAGAAGTACTAGTGACAAGCAGGCTATATGAGGAATAACTAATGTCTCAGACACGAGACCCAAAAATAGGATGATACATATATTTATAGGTGTAACCATTGTCACCCCATTCCCAAGATAATACATAGTGTATATACTTGTAAAATACTTGACCCGTAGGTCATTTTCTCACAAAAGAGTCTTTTAGAGACAAGGTACTCACTCAACCTTTCCCCTTTCATTCCTGAATGCCTAGCTTAAGAGCTACATTCTACCTTCATAATATCCTACCGAGTTTCAGGAGTGTTAACCCTCCCGGGGATACTCAACCCCAACCGAGTTTTGGGATCATTTACCGTCCCGAGGATGCTCAACCTCAACCGAGTTTTAGGATCATTTACCGTCCCGAGGATGCTCAACCTCAACCGAGTTTTAGGATCATTTACCGTCCCGAGGATGCTCAACCTCAACCGAGTTTTAGGATCATTTACCGTCCCGAGGATGCTCAACCTCAACCGAGTTTTAGGATCATTTACCGTCCCGAGGATGCTCAACCTCAACCGAGTTTTAGGATCATTTACCGTCCCGAGGATACTCAACCTCAACCTTATTTCTAACCAAACCCTAACCCGGATATGGCTAACCTTGCATTCACTTAACTATGGACAATACCTAGTCCTATAGTCATATAATAATCCTTAGTAACCAACGTGGACGGGTCCCACCTGATCGATCCACGTTAACCCACTCAAAAACTACCCGTTTTGAGTATAACCCAATACTCGATCGAGTACCCATCAATACTCGGTCGAGTACAGGAGACAGGAGCCCGTAAGGCTAATTTCCAAGGCATACTCGATCGAGTATCTATCCATACTCGATCGGGTATAGGAGACAGCGGCCCTTGGGGCAAATTTTTCAGCAGACACCCGGTCGGGTATTGTCGTTGACTTGGCGGTCAACGCCCGTTTGACCGCCCAAACGGAGTCCGATTAACGTGAAATTTTACATGAATATTCTACTTGAAGTCCTTGATCCAAAAATACCATTTTTGACCCCTGGATCATTGTACATAATAAGTTATCACATTTTTAATCACCAAACATACAAAACATGCCTTTCAACTTTGTTTTATATATAATCATGGCATAAGCCCATACTTGATTAACTTTAATCATTCCGTAAAACATATCCTTGATTACTTTAGGTAATCTCATGCCTCAATCAAAAGTTATAAAGCATATAGCCGTCTTCTCACCTTAATGAAGCTTATGAAGTTCTAGCCTCTCCGATTTGGCCCCGGTGAAACTCCGGTGAACTTCAACGAACTCCGGCAACAACTCCGGCGACCCTTTCAACTCCGTGAAGGTTCTTGAAATACCTTATACAAGTTAATAACAAGGTTTTATCATCATAAAACCCCTACCAATACAAATAACCTCTAAAAGGTTACTTTTCCGGTGAACCCGTCAACTTTGCTCTCAAAGTTCGTTTTGGGTATAGACCAACCCTCCAACTCCCATTCTACACTTTTTCATGTGTAGAACCATTCTAGGAGTATGAAATAAGATTATATAGTCATATGAGAAGATTAAGGGAAAGGAATGAGGTTAATGGAGTCATTACCTTGTTAATCCCCAAGTCTCCTCCTCTCTTCTTTTCTCCTTCTTTCTTCCTCCTTCTTCTTGAGCTTGGTTCGAATGGAAGAGGTGGAGATAGTATTTTGCAGAGCTCCTCTCTCAAAAATGGATGGTAAGGTCGAAGGTTGATGGGCAAGGGGAAGGATATGGCCTCATTTTGGCTTATTATTCAATAATGGCAAAACCATGGCCCTCCATTGTCCTTTGATGCTATATCACTCAAGTCAACCCCTTCCATCCCCCTTCCCTCACTCCAGCCGCCCACCTCCTTCCTTTGTCTCAAATAATTACGTGGGGTGGCCCCCACATATGTGGGAGGTCATCCTTTTGTGTCCCCAAGTGTATACTCGGTCCCGAAAGTTGTATTTTCCGGACTGTTTAAACTATATTTCATTTTATCGGGTCAAATGAAATATATATAATCCTTCCAATTATTATTGGCAAATAGAATGGGTGTATATCCCCCAACTTTTAATTTAATGGTCTCCATAATTTATTATGGCTTTTTATCTGATGTTACTTCGGTACCGATAAATGAGCTTTATATGCCCAAATGGTTACTCACATGATTTCTATGACCCAAAAAGGGTATCCACCCTCATACACATATTATCTTGGTCCAAACGAATATGATATGTGGTCCCGATACAATCGGGCGGCCCCCACTTCCGGTGTGGGCCCCACGTGAATTTTACTATTCACGTAACAGAAATGATAAAAATTCACAATCACGTAAAATGCGTTTATTCATTTCTTGGGTTCAATACATAATTTGATAAAGTACAAATACTTGGGGGCGGTGTTACAAGTTCTACCCCCCTTATTTGGGATTTCGTCCCCGAAATCCACGTGCCTAGTCAAACAGAAATGGATACTGTTCCCTCATCAGGGTCTCCACTTCCCAAGTTTGCTCCTCGACACGATCACTCTTCCAAAGTACCTTCACCATCGGTACCTCTTTACTCCTTAGCTTCTTTACCTGTCGGTCCATGATCTTTACCGGCTGCACCGCATAGTGAAGGTCTTCCCGGATTTCTACCGGTGGTTTCTCAAGAATATGTGATGGGTCCCGTACATACTTCTTGAGCATAGAAACATGAAATACGTTATGAATCTTTTCTAATTCTGGAGTTAACTGAAGCCGGTACGCTACAACCCCAATCCTTTCAATGATTTTGAATGGGCCTATGTAGCGTGGGTTAAGCTTACCCCGACTGAGAAACCTGATGATCCCTTTCCAAGGTGACACCCTCAAAAATACCTCATCGCCGACCTCAAACTCTAACGTTCTTCGTCGTTTATCTGCATAGCTCTTCTGCCGATCTTGGGCAGCCTTGAGTTTATCTTGAATAACCCTCACCTTATCCTTGGTGATTTCGACTAGCTCGATGCCCTCAAGCTTAGCCTCGCCTACTTCATCCCAACACAAAGGTGTCCGACATTTCCTCCCATACAATGCCTCGTATGGAGGCATGCCTATACTTGCTTGATAACTGTTGTTATAAGCAAACTCCACCAAGGCCAACTGGTTGTCCCAACTTCCTTGGAACTCCAAGGCACATGCCCTCAGCATGTCCTCCAAAATCTGAATCACCCGTTCAGATTGCCCATCCGTTTGAGGATGGAATGCCGTGCTAAACCTCAACTTTGTTCCCATGGATTCCTGGAACTTAGGCCAAAACCGTGATGTGAACCGTGGGTCTCTATCCGATACTATCGTAACTGGAACCCCATGCAGTCTCACAATCTCATCTGTGTACAACTTGGCCAGTCGTTCAAGCGTATAAGTAGTGTTGATAGGAAGGAAATGAGCACTCTTGGTTAACCTATCAACCACCACCCACACTGCATCATAGTTCCTAACCGTGCGTGGTAGACCTACCACGAAGTCCATAGTAACATGCTCCCACTTCCATTCTGGGATGGTAAGTGGCTGTAATAACCCCGCTGGGTGCTGGTGCTCTGCCTTAACCTGCTGACAGGTAAGGCAACGACTCACATATTCTGCAATCTCTCTCTTCATCCCTGACCACCAGTAACTTTCCTTCAAGTCCCGGTACATCTTTGTTCCACCCGGGTGCATGGCATACGCAGATGAGTGAGCCTCCTCAAGAATAGATTTTCGGAGCTCCTCGTCTGACGGCACACACACTCGCTCCCTGAATAGTAGGAGTCCATCTTCCCTCTCACGGAAACCCTCGACAGGTCCCACCAGCATCCGTTCCCGGATTTTCTGAATTTCCTCGTCATTGCCTTGACGCGTCCTGATTTCGTCTAATAAGGTGGGTCTCACCTCAAATCTGGCCAATAGAGCCCCATTCGTGGATACCTCCACGCGTGCCCTCAATGCTTGCAAGCATGAGAGTAAAACCCCAGATGAGCTCTTCCTACTAAGAGCATCGGCTACCACGTTAGCCTTCCCTGGATGATACTCAATAATCAAGTTGTAATCCTTGATCAGCTCCATCCATCTTCTCTGCCTCATGTTCAACTCTTTCTGAGTGAACACGTACTTCAAACTTTTGTGATCAGTATAAATGTGACACACCTCACCGTAGAGGTAATGCCTCCAAATCTTCAAAGCAAACACCACAGCCCCCAGCTCCAGATCATGCGTGGGGTAATTTACTTCATGCTTCCTCAACTGTCGAGAAGCATAAGCAATTACCTTCCCTGATTGCATCAGTACGCATCCAAGCCCCTGGATACTAGCATCACTGTAGATGTCATACCTTAACCCTTGTACGGGTAGGGCAAGCACTGGTGCTTCAGTCAAACGTTTCTTTAGCTCAAGAAACCCCTTCTCGCACTTGTCATCCCACACAAACTTAGCCCCCTTTTTAGTGAGCTTCGTGAGTGGAGATGCTATCACCGAGAACTTCTCCACGAATTTGCGGTAATACCCCGCTAAACCGAGGAAACTCCGTATTTCCTTCACATTCTTGGGCCTCTCCCAATTAGTGACTGCTTCAATCTTCGAGTTATCAACTGAAATGCCCGAGCCTGATACCACATGCCCGAGAAAACCGATCTCCCCAAGCCAAAATTCACATTTAGAGAATTTGGCAAAGAGTTGCTTCTCCCGCAGTGTTTCAAGCACGAGTCTTAGATGTTTCTCGTGTTCCTCTTCGTTCTTGGAGTATATCAAAATATCATCAATGAACACTATGACAAATTGGTCCAAGTATTGATGAAATACTCGGTTCATGAGGTCCATGAATGCCGCGGGGGCATTTGTAAGCCCAAACGACATCACTAGGAACTCATAGTGACCATACCTTGTACGGAATGCACTTTTGGGTATGTCACTCTCCTTGATCTTTAGTTGATGGTAGCCCGACCTCAAGTCGATCTTGGAGAACACGGTTGCCCCCCGTAATTGATCAAACAAGTCGTCAATCCTTGGCAAAGGATATTTGTTCTTTATTGTGACCTTGTTCAATTGACGGTAGTCGATACACATTCTCATTGTACCATCCTTCTTCTTTACAAAGAGTACGGGTGCTCCCCATGGTGAATGACTCGGTCTAATGAATCCATTATCTAGTAGCTCTTCCAATTGAACTTTCAATTCTTGAAGTTCAGCCGGTGCCATTCGATACGGAGGAATTGAGATGGGCTTGGTGCCTGGTTCAACCTCAATCTCAAACTCGATCTCCCGATCTGGTGGGAGTCCCGGGAGTTCTTCAGGGAAAACTTCTGGATACTCACTCACCACCCTCACCTCCGTGAGGCTCTTTCCTTTGCCTTCCTTGCCTATGACATAGGCTAAGTATGCTTGATAACCTTTCTTCATCAAACGCCTCGCCCTTAAGGCCGATATGATACAGGGATTGAATTTTCCTCTATCTCCCTCGAAGCATAGAGTATTTCCCTCTTCGTCTTCTAATTCTAACACCTTGGTGTAGCAATCTACCTTTGCATGGTGTTTCTCAAGCCAGTCCATGCCGAGTATGGCATCGAATTCAAGCATGTCTAACGGTACAAAGTCGCCCATTAGACGGTGCTCCCCTATCCCCACATTACATGAAGGATAGTAGTGCTTCCTCTCTACATCATCTCCCAACGGTGTAGAGACCAACAAAGGTTGTGTCATCGCCGTTAATGGTATGTCCAAACCCTCGGCAAACGCTTCGCTCATAAATGAACGTTGCGCCCCGGTGTCGATGAGAATTCTCGCTTGTCTACCGTTGATCTTTAGTGTTCCTACATATATAAGTCATGTAAGACACACTACTCAACGTCCCGACTGAAAAGGACTGAACGAAAAAATATTCTAGCTTGGGGCCACCCTATACCCGGTCGGGTAACTCTCCATACCCGGTCGGGTAACACTCGGGCTCCTAAGAAGAAACTCCCTGTCAACACTGCCCGGTTGAGTATATGTCTATACCCGATCGGGTATCATTCAGGTTTTTAAACAACAACCCCCTGTAATTTCTGCTCGGTCGAGTACACACCTCGAACCCGAACAAACATCTATACCCGGTCGGGTATATGCCCATACCCGGTCGGGTATCACTCAAAGTTTTAAACGAGGAGCTTCCTGCCCACGACGTTCGATCGAGTACACGCCTCGAACACAAAAATTTACTAATACTCGATCGAGTATATAACCATACTCGGTCGAGTATGGCTGGATTTGTCAAAACTGAAGGGTCCTGCTAAACTTGCTCGAACGAGTACAAACCTCAATCTTGAAGAATTTCCCATACCCGGTCGGGTCTATAGGGATACCCGGTCGGGTATTACACATTTTTCGAATGTTTTACTTCAAACGAATGAATAAAACACATGTGAGGTCAAAAGATTACCTGCAATGGAGTCCGGATTGGCCCGAGCGTCAGCCTCGGTCATTGCGTACACCCGTGCCTGGGTCCTCCCTTGGTTAACGGACGCGGCGTTACTAGCCGTGGGTCCGCCCCTTCCTGTGCCGCCCTGAGATGGTCCCGCACGACCCCTACCAGACGTAGGTGCCTCGACAGCTCCCGATGGCCCACCTCCACTCAACATTGGGCAAGAGAGTTTGAGGTGGCTTGTGCTACCACACTTGTAGCACCGAGGTGGTTCATTGCACTTCCCGGAGTGATTCCTATTACAGTTTGGACACCTTGGTGGCCTCACGCTCCCCGAGCTATGCCCTTGCCCTCCTGGGCCCTTACTCTTCTTTGCCGGTGGCTCCGGCGCCCTGAATAATCTTCCATTCCCGGCGTGATGTTTCCGAGAATGGTCTTGGGGTCCAGAATTCCCCCATCTTCTCTTTTTCGCCTCTTCGGCGTCTCTCTTCTTCCTTTCATTCCACTTGGCTTCCCCAAGTAGCCCCTGGTCCACAATCTCACTAAAGGTCATGTGATGATTGTAGGTAGCCCGATCACGGATATCCAAGTGTAGGGTATCCCAGAAGTGATTAGCCATACGGTTCTCATCCATGGCGTACTCGGGTATGTACCGTGTCAAGTCCCGGAACCTTTGTTCCAGTTGCCTCACCGAGCAATCCTCCTCCTGTACCAGGGTCATGTACTCCTTCCTCTTCTGGTTCTTTTCGAACTCTGAGTAGTACTGATTATAGAATTCTACTTCAAATTTCTCCCAGGTGGTCTCACCGTGGAACTTTCCTTCCACGCCTTCCCACCATACCGCGGCTACTCCCTCCAGTAACCTGGTAGCAACTGTCAGCTTTATATCAAGCCCGATCTGCATATCCCTAGCAGCCTCATTTAGCTTCTTTATCCAATCGGCAGCCACTGATATATCACCCTTGCCGTCAAATGACTTGCACCCCAAGGCCCTAGCCTCCTTGAGGTATTTGGAGATTCTTACACAAAAACCTCCTCCATGCATTCCCTGTGACGCCACAGGTGTAGCCACTGATGCTCCCCCGGCTTCCGTGACCTGAAGCCCCCTGAGAGGCACGCCTAGCTTGGCGCCTAAGATCTCTCCTCAACTTCTCCTTTTGATACCACTCAAACAGTTCACCCATCTGGGCGAATTTGGCATCACTCTCATCGTTGTCATCATCAGTATACGTATCACCCCCATCATATGGGGTCTCCTCATGTTCCGTCTCGGGAACATATGTAGAGTCATAATCCTCGGTGTGAGTCCCGTGCACCGAGCTAACATGGCCATCGCTCACGGTTTGAGCCCGACGGCCTCCCCGGCCTCCACGGCCTCCACGGCCTCTCCTACCGCCTCTCGCGCCCCGAGATGCAACCTGGCTAGCCCCTTCGGACGTCACCGGAGTTTGCCCTCTCGGGTTGTTCCTCGTAGCCATGCCTCTACCCTCCATTTCTGAAAGAAATTTGGAATGAGCCGTTAGACTCGTATCAATGTCAATTGACGGAATAGTACAAAAGACACCACTTGGTCCAACGTTATGGCCAACAAACTGTTAAGGGTACCGTCTTAACAATAAGAGGTCAATAACTTGGTTTCCAACGGTTCCTTAAGTACAAACACTTTTGCTCATGGTTTTGCTCAAACATTTTTGATGATACTATATTGAGAGGTTAATTATATAGTTTAGAAATCGATGGCTCTGATACCACTTAATTGTCACGCCCCGGACCGCATCCGTGCCACGTAGACAACCGCCGTACAACCCAATAAGAACAACGTAGTTCATTCTTATCAAATCATACAAGGCGTCCGATAGATTCTATTGCCAAACCGATTAGTAAACCCATACAATCAACATCAATATATAAATCAAACAAATGCGGAAATAAAATATGTTTGACATTTAGCCACACGTGGCAAACATGAGCACGCAGGCCCTTCAATAGTTTAATAGAAAACATCGTTCAAATATCCATGAGCAATTTCATAATTTCAAATAAGAATGGAAGCACGAACCACGTCTTCCTTATTTGAGTTCACCCTGGGCAAAGGTGCAGGTAGCAGGACTCTAGCCTCAACCTGAAAAATGTGAGGGCCCCCGAAGGGGTCAGTACTCCATAGAAGTACTAGTGACAAGCAGGCTATATGAGGAATAACTAATGTCTCAGACACGAGACCCAAAAATAGGATGATACATATATTTATAGGTGTAACCATTGTCACCCCATTCCCAAGATAATACATAGTGTATATACTTGTAAAATACTTGACCCGTAGGTCATTTTCTCACAAAAGAGTCTTTTAGAGACAAGGTACTCACTCAACCTTTCCCCTTTCATTCCTGAATGCCTAGCTTAAGAGCTACATTCTACCTTCATAATATCCTACCGAGTTTCAGGAGTGTTAACCCTCCCGGGGATACTCAACCCCAACCGAGTTTTGGGATCATTTACCGTCCCGAGGATGCTCAACCTCAACCGAGTTTTAGGATCATTTACCGTCCCGAGGATGCTCAACCTCAACCGAGTTTTAGGATCATTTACCGTCCCGAGGATGCTCAACCTCAACCGAGTTTTAGGATCATTTACCGTCCCGAGGATGCTCAACCTCAACCGAGTTTTAGGATCATTTACCGTCCCGAGGATGCTCAACCTCAACCGAGTTTTAGGATCATTTACCGTCCCGAGGATACTCAACCTCAACCTTATTTCTAACCAAACCCTAACCCGGATATGGCTAACCTTGCATTCACTTAACTATGGACAATACCTAGTCCTATAGTCATATAATAATCCTTAGTAACCAACGTGGACGGGTCCCACCTGATCGATCCACGTTAACCCACTCAAAAACTACCCGTTTTGAGTATAACCCAATACTCGATCGAGTACCCATCAATACTCGGTCGAGTACAGGAGACAGGAGCCCGTAAGGCTAATTTCCAAGGCATACTCGATCGAGTATCTATCCATACTCGATCGGGTATAGGAGACAGCGGCCCTTGGGGCAAATTTTTCAGCAGACACCCGGTCGGGTATTGTCGTTGACTTGGCGGTCAACGCCCGTTTGACCGCCCAAACGGAGTCCGATTAACGTGAAATTTTACATGAATATTCTACTTGAAGTCCTTGATCCAAAAATACCATTTTTGACCCCTGGATCATTGTACATAATAAGTTATCACATTTTTAATCACCAAACATACAAAACATGCCTTTCAACTTTGTTTTATATATAATCATGGCATAAGCCCATACTTGATTAACTTTAATCATTCCGTAAAACATATCCTTGATTACTTTAGGTAATCTCATGCCTCAATCAAAAGTTATAAAGCATATAGCCGTCTTCTCACCTTAATGAAGCTTATGAAGTTCTAGCCTCTCCGATTTGGCCCCGGTGAAACTCCGGTGAACTTCAACGAACTCCGGCAACAACTCCGGCGACCCTTTCAACTCCGTGAAGGTTCTTGAAATACCTTATACAAGTTAATAACAAGGTTTTATCATCATAAAACCCCTACCAATACAAATAACCTCTAAAAGGTTACTTTTCCGGTGAACCCGTCAACTTTGCTCTCAAAGTTCGTTTTGGGTATAGACCAACCCTCCAACTCCCATTCTACACTTTTTCATGTGTAGAACCATTCTAGGAGTATGAAATAAGATTATATAGTCATATGAGAAGATTAAGGGAAAGGAATGAGGTTAATGGAGTCATTACCTTGTTAATCCCCAAGTCTCCTCCTCTCTTCTTTTCTCCTTCTTTCTTCCTCCTTCTTCTTGAGCTTGGTTCGAATGGAAGAGGTGGAGATAGTATTTTGCAGAGCTCCTCTCTCAAAAATGGATGGTAAGGTCGAAGGTTGATGGGCAAGGGGAAGGATATGGCCTCATTTTGGCTTATTATTCAATAATGGCAAAACCATGGCCCTCCATTGTCCTTTGATGCTATATCACTCAAGTCAACCCCTTCCATCCCCCTTCCCTCACTCCAGCCGCCCACCTCCTTCCTTTGTCTCAAATAATTACGTGGGGTGGCCCCCACATATGTGGGAGGTCATCCTTTTGTGTCCCCAAGTGTATACTCGGTCCCGAAAGTTGTATTTTCCGGACTGTTTAAACTATATTTCATTTTATCGGGTCAAATGAAATATATATAATCCTTCCAATTATTATTGGCAAATAGAATGGGTGTATATCCCCCAACTTTTAATTTAATGGTCTCCATAATTTATTATGGCTTTTTATCTGATGTTACTTCGGTACCGATAAATGAGCTTTATATGCCCAAATGGTTACTCACATGATTTCTATGACCCAAAAAGGGTATCCACCCTCATACACATATTATCTTGGTCCAAACGAATATGATATGTGGTCCCGATACAATCGGGCGGCCCCCACTTCCGGTGTGGGCCCCACGTGAATTTTACTATTCACGTAACAGAAATGATAAAAATTCACAATCACGTAAAATGCGTTTATTCATTTCTTGGGTTCAATACATAATTTGATAAAGTACAAATACTTGGGGGCGGTGTTACATGGACTAAATAGAATTTACTTAATCGGGTTTTATCAATTCAAAACCTGAAAGATAGATTAACTATCAATTTGGAATATGAAAGGTGAAATGTAATGGTATAGAAGTCAAGTAATTGCAAACTATCGATGTATGAACTAAATTGTCAAGATTTTTATTAGTTTTTATTTAAAAAATTTTAAATACAAATAATTTTATTAAACTAATAAAATTTTGCGAAGAAAAGTTCATCAAAATTTAGCAATGAAATTAATAAAAAATTAAATAAATCAAAACATTTGCAATTTTAGGTTTTTGGTTGATAGTTTTCAATCTTTTGAGTCATATACAGACACGTAAATCTTGCAAGTCCTGTATATATAGTTCGTCTATCTTTCGGGTTATGAGTTGAAAAAAATCATATTTAATCCTATTAAAAGAATAAAAGAATAAAGAATTCCCTAAACAGGAGTGCATTGGTCCTATATTGGGAAGAAAATAATGTAACTCCTATTTGAGAAAACTTCTACTACTCTTTAGGATTAAAAAAAAAGCTTAGAGCCCGTTTGATAATAACAAAATGAATGAATCAGCTAATTCTGCTTAAGCTTATGAATTTCTAATTAAAATGATTGGATCAACTGATTCTGTTGTTTTGTGTAAAAATTATATTTAAAATACACATAGGTAGTATATTTTATTATAAAATAAATAAAAAATTATATGAAAATTACTAAAATGGCTCTCTACACTAAAAGTAACTTCAACCTTACTTTTTCTTATTATGACACAATTTAGCACACGACATAAAAAATTACGTGTTTGATGAAAAGTTAATTGATAAACCTAATAAGGCGAAAAATATGATGACCAAACGGTCTATTAGTATACACCTTTTTGTATACAAATGGTGTATACTAACATCCTAGGATGAAGTATAAAGTTAAATACTCCTATTAAAGTAAATATTACTCCCTCTCTATCACATATATCTTCCCACTTCCGAAGTGGGTGAGATTAGGAATAGTGAAAGGGAATATAAATTATTGAGGGTATGATGTGAAGATTGTGAATAATGTGATGGAATGAAGAATAAACCCAAAAAAGTATGTGTAATAGTGTATTATTTTTTAAATTATTGAGGGTATGATGGGAAGATTTAGAAATAGGAAAATATAAATGCTACGTCCAAAAAAGGAAATGAGAAGATATGAATGTTACATAGGGAGTATGTGTCTAATATATGGACAACTTCATTCTTTTTAAATGACAAATGAGAGAATTGGAACATTATTCTTGTACTGCTGAGATGCCCAGCAGGTGGGCTCCTTTTATTGCACAAAGTGGCAGTGAGGGCTGAATAGGTGTAGATATCTCACATCTCCGCCCCCAATGAGTCAAATGACCCCATTCATCCACTCGCCTATACATGGATTGCACATGGAAATGGGGTAATACTCCCAAATGTGGGCTTATTAACCGACTATTCACCCTCTCCATCGCAAATGATGAACCAACTTTACATTGAATAGATGTTTGAGATATGAATCGGATTTTCACTCAAACATGGGGTATGCTATTCAGAAAGCTCGCATTGCTGGACCCTTAGTGTGACAACTAAGATCTCTCTCTAAAAGCACAAAAATCCATATTTCGAACGCGTGTCAGTTGTCTTGAGGGAAAACTGGTCTTTGCACAACAATTTTTACCACCCATTCTTTCTTTAGTCATTGCGCCTCGCCGCCTCATGATTACTTTAATTTTTAACTTTATACCTCATCCTAGGGTGTTTGTTCATTGGAAATAAAGGGTGCAGTGCAAATACTCCATGGGGAAAATCTTAGTTCAATTGACATACTCCCCAGTCCCCAGTTTTGGAAGTAAGTTCCTGCTCGTCACAAATTAAGTTCTATTTTTTCTTTTTTCAGTTGTGTGTTTAGAAAATGACGTTTTAGTTATTAAAAAAACACCCATTTAATCATTTTTAGCATTTTAATCTGTGGACCCCGGTGATCCATGTTGTTTTGCAAATAATATTCGGTCTTGACGTTCTTGGAAATAATTGGTGATATAGAAACGTTGCAAATAACACCATTTTGGGCTTAATGGTTTGAAATAGGTCTTACCTAATAACCGCTAGTGGTGGACCGAGACCGGCACGGACTGCCACTGTGCGGTACCGGCCCGTCACGGTGAACCGGGCCCAGGGTCTGGACAAGAGTGGGGGGTCACGGGCTCTGCCCCTCTTGGAACCAGCCCGGCCGGTCCTGGACCGATCCGGGCCCAAAAGATTTTTTTTTCTTGAAGTGTTTTGGTGGTAGGCAGGTTGGACTTGATGTTTTGGCGGGGTTTGGAGGGTAGGGTGTAGGAATTAATTAGAAAAGCTATAAAAAAAATTGAACCCAGCTCGGATCGGTCCCGGCCCGGACCGGTCCCGATAGAATCCCGGGCCGGTATCGGGCCTTAACCCAAAAACTAAAGGCCCGGTTTGGACCGGCCGGGAGCCCGGCCCGGCCCGATACTGGTACATGCCTAATAACCGCTACGTCCAAAAACTAAATTACCAAACACTTTTTTGTAACCCATAAGTATCATCCTCTAAACAAACCCGCTAACAAAATCTATTATCAATAATCCGCTAATATATCCCACTAACCACTGACCGCTAACCTCAGATTGTGAAACACGTTCAATATTTCAATGATAAAATACTCTTTTACCCTAATGAACGCACATCATTAATATGTGAGTATACTTTGAGAGCCAATATTTTTCTAAAAGAGCCGATAAAAAGCTATATAACCTAAAAACTCGTGAATTCAAACTATTAACTTTATTACAAAGAGAGTATTTAAATAGGGACAAGCTTATGAGCATATTAATTTGGTTTTTGGCCAAATAAAACCGTTCCATATCAATCTGAACCAAATTATACACAATTTGATTTCATTTTGGTTAAATTTCTCTAAAGCTGTGTTAAATCAAACCGAAAACATAGAAAATCGAATATCACCAAATGGAACTAAAAAAATAATAAGTAAAACCTGTTAACATAGTATGGTTTAAAATAAGAAATAATTACATATATGATCAAAATAAAGATGATTTACAATAATATGACTAGTGACTAGAGTAGTAATGAAATCATAGTAATTCATGTTCAAGTTTTGAGCTTAAGTTACCACAACACCACATCGTAGTAATGAATAGTCATATTTATGTAAATATGTTTTATATTAGTAATATTCTTGTAAAAAACTCTTAGAGCATCTTCAATGCTACAATGTGCACGATGCACGTGTGGCATGACAAATAGCCACATAAATATTAATAAATAAATTATTTCTTTCCTTATTTGAATGATTTTATATAATTTTGGTAACTTTTCTTGACAATGTCAACCACAATGTCTACATCTAGACGGTCTCCTTGACATTGCAGAGAAAAACTTACCAAAATTGCAATAAATCATTCAAATAAGGACAAAAATAATTTATTTACTCATATTTATGTGGCTATCTCACATGCCACATGTGCACCGTGCACATTGTAGCATTGAAGATGCTCTTAAAATAATAAGTAAAAATAATAAGTAAAATAATAAGTATCCAAATAGAATCGTATCAAATAACGATTAAGCTGAAACCGAAATGCCCACCCTATATTTGAGAGCTGAAACAACTTTTCATAAACTAACTAACATGGGAATTAAGCTTTAGTAAACGCTGGTCCTTTTACTTCAAGCTAGGGCTGGGCACGGGCCGGGTCGGGGCGGGTAATGCAAAATAAAATGGAACCGCCGGTTCCATTGTACGGTTCGGTCCGGTCCGGGTATTACAATTTTTAAAATAGGAACCGGAAATTACCCGGCGCGTTTGAAACGGGTCGGTCCGGTCCGAGTTTTACGGTTTCTATTCTGATGTCTTGAAATTAGTAAAAACTCACGAAGTTCCAAAAATCAATAATGAATAATATAAGACATTAGCAAGTTTCAAAATAACAACATAGTGGTGCACATGTAACACAAGCGACAAGTCAATACTCCATAATTTCATGTATATAAGTTTCAAACAATTAAAGAAATTCCAAAAATATGCAACATAGACAAAATACATATTTTCTAACATTTGTATTTAAACATGTTGTCTAACACCACATATTGAAGTGATTGCTTTTTTTATGTTAAATTTTCTGTATTAGCCAAAGTTGACACATACATGGTGGGTGATAAACACAATTTATATATTTTAAGAACAATATAATAAAAAAATAACAAAATCATTTTTAACAAATAATTAAATTCCATAGAAAGGAATAATTCAATAACAATAAAAAGTCATAAGATATTTATGAAACATTTAATCAATAATTTGAAAACAAAAGGATGTTACTGCAACTCAATTTAAAATCCTACTTCTAGGCTTCTAGCAAAGGAAACAAAACTATTTCAAAACCGATTATCACAAAACTATTAATAAATTAATATACAATATCTATAACGGGCCGGGCCGGGTACCCGTTATTTTTTAATTTTGGAACCGGTCCGGTTCCTTAAAAAAAATTACCCGACCCTACCCGGACTGTTTTATGGCAACAAAAAATGGAACCGGCCCGTTTTGGACCCGAACCGCCATTACCCGGACCGGACCGCGGTTCCAAGACCCGTTTGCCCACCCCTACTTCAAGCTACTGAATTGTTATCTATATCAAGCAACAACCAAGGAAATATATGATCAAGTTGAGAATAGTACTCATGAGTCCCGTTCGAGTCAGGCGCGCCTGACCGGAAGGCCCGTGCGACCTTCCCCTTTTGGGTGTCTTCCCGGTGGAATTTTTTGATGAAATTTTTTGAGCATGTTCCTCATCAAGTCTAGTTTATCCATACCAAATTTCAGCTCAAAATTCGATCGGGAAAGCAGTCAAATAAATTCTTGAAACATACTGAGCATTCTGCACATATATAAAGTGCAATATGTTTCAAGAATTTATTTGACTGCCTTCCCGGTCGAAGTTTGAGCTGAAATTTGGTATGGATAAACTAGACTTGATGAGGAACATGCTCAAAAAATTTCATCAAAAAATTCCACTGGGCAGACACCCAAAAGGGGAAGGCCGCATGGGCCTTCTGGTCTGGGGCGCCTGACTCGAACCAGTCGAACGGCCCTCTAGTACTCATTATCCAGGATCAATAAACAATCCTTGGACGCACACAGCTTAACAAGCAACAGGCATTGGCTTGTTGAACGTCACAGATGGTTAAGGGAAGAACGAATATAGATAGTGTTAGAGGATTGGATTATGTAGGGACCCCAAGACTCCCTAGGGTTTACTTTGAACTTCTGCTCTCTTATTGTCTAAATAATTTTCCCTTCTGCTACATCTAGATTGTTTGCAAGTGAATGGGAACTGGGCCCGAGGTTGTACTATAAGAGAAATGCCAATACAATAAGAAGCGAAAAAAGCTTAGTAAGATTTATCACATTGGCATAGCTGAATCAATGTCTTCTTCAATTCATCAATATCCTTCATCAATTTCTCTTTTTCATTCTCTAGAATTCTTATGTCAATCTCTAGAGCTGCACGCCATAATAAGTTCACTTCAGACTTGGCAGAAATTTCCAGTAAATGTTATTTTTATAATGCAATGAAGTTGGTGAGAACTTCAGATAATACTGATCAGCACAATACATTTTAGGGAGGGATTTAGCAAGCAGTAAAATTATCTCAACATTGTCCCCAAATGAATAAACGAGGCCATGAGGGTGAAAGAATTTGAAATAATTCTATCATTCCATGACCCTCTCCCTCGTACTTGTATCACTATCCATGAAGTTATGTGAGAACTTGATTACACAAACTACCCAAAGACTAAATCAACTATCTGACTAATAGAGCTAACAGAACTTACATATAGAATGGACAAAGAAGCCATAGAACATGGAAACCATATGTTTTAGTAGTGATGTAGCACCAAATGTTGGTAAACCTTAGTAATAAGTAATAACTTAAAAAGTCTGTGATTAAACATAAAAAAAATATAAAAGGAACTATACAAACAAATATATTGACCTGTTTTTAAGCCAAAGAAAACTGTGTCAGTAACGTACATGCCCCCAACATATTGACCTACCTGCTCTATGTTATTCCAAAAATGGAAGGAAAGTAAAGATTATTGTAGCATATTAACAAAGTACCATGAATAGAATTCTGGAGATCTTCAAGAATTTCTTCAACAAATGCAGCCATTGAGTTTTGTAGATCAGAATTTCTTGTGTTTAAGGAATGAACTTCACTTTGTAGGAGCTCTTTCTTCAAGATCAAAGCCCCAATTTCATCATTCTCTTGTTTGCTAATGTTTTTTTGAAAATCCATGCATGATTTCAGGAACCTTTCTCTGTACAGTAACAAATAATTACCTTTTGCCTACTCTGGAAACATCATTTGTGGAGAACACCGCATAGGATTTTCATATTATGAACTTCAAGAACAAACCGCAGCTTTCATCAATAATATTACAGCTTTGGAAAACCTAAATTAATCAAAGGCGTCATATATTCTTGATAGAAAACAAGTTCTCTCGTTACAGTGCGATAAGGAAAACGTTTAGGGATTTATACTACACAATGCATTCAGTCTTGCTTTGCATCTTATATTAATTAATGCTGGGTTGTTTATGTTACTCATAGGCATCAATCAATAAGATTTGAGACATTGACTAGTAGTGTAGTAGGCATGGGAATATAGGAAAGGGAGATTAGAGCTTCAAAACATTCATATTCATATAAAATACGCTGTACTACGTCATTCCTTTTCCAAAACAAACTAACACATTTGGGTTATAATAATAACTTTATCCAGCCAGATTAGAAACACTTGTTAGAAGTTATATTCTGTTAACATTTTTCATGAGATACGAGTACATAAAATGGATTGTGGCCATAAAAGGAATTAGGGAAATTGCCTTAAATAGGACTATTATGTTTTTATTCCCTAAATAAGAGTAATTACTATCATGTTTCAATAGTACCAGTCTTTAAACATGACAGTATTTTTCAAGCTTGACAGTAATTACTTCTATTTAGGGAATAAAAACATGACAGTCCTATTTTGGAATTCTCAAACGTTTTTACTCCTATTATTTCGGGAATTTTTCCAAGGAATTAGCTTTTCGCTTTTGCATATGAAGATTAATGTGAGATTTCGTTATTTCAGATTGCTATTTGTGTTTCGAGTTGCACTTTTTATCAACACAGAGCCAAAATGGTTAGGATCACTACCGTTGGATGTTCATTCGGGTCAGTATCTCATCCTGCTTCCTTTTAAGAGAACCTAACTCTTCCTCTAATGATTTGTGGGAGGTTTTTGAAGCAGCTGCATAAAAAGGGAGAGGAGTTTAGAGCACTACAGTATAGAGAGTAATTTCCACCAAGGATAAATCTAAGGGTTATTCACCAACTCCAAGGCTATAATCCAAACAATTTTCAGTCAAAGTAAAACTATTGACCTATTGTAACTCAAAAGATGCCATAAAACAACACACCACAATCATGCAATTCAGTTTGATCCTATTCCTAATACTACGTATATAGAGATTCAATAATGAATGCAGACAAGAGACTCGTCTTTTGGGATCAAGACAAACGATATAATGAATGTAGATACTACTCCGTATCATTTACTGCTATGCCAGTCCCCTACCACTCCAGCTATTGATTTCCTGGTTATTCAAAAAGAAAACATAATTTCATTTTGTTCCGAGATTTCTTTCAGGGGAATCAAAATTCTAATTTCATTGTAATCCCTAATCACAGTGTTATAGTACCAGTGGCGGCCATCAAGCCTTTGATTTCGAACTGTTGCATGTACGCTCTTTGCATCAGCTCCGATTCTTGGGCAAGCAGGGAGACCTCGGCTTCGGAGCACTTGACAATCTCCGATTCGATTTCTCTGGTGATCTTGATGTTAGCCTCGATTTCCTCGTTCACCTGAAACGAATACCCAACCCTATGATCATGATCTGAGACTCTGGCGAATGGCGATTCTACCGATACACTGAACTGAAGTAGAGTTACCTTATCAAGCATGTCCTTGAGCTGAGATATCTGACACAGAATTGCAACCGAATCGTCCATCCTCTCTTTCCCGGGCATGGATGCCGGTCTGTTCAAACTTCCCGCGCTTTGCAGATGTAGTCCTTACATCCTAAATAAATTCTCATTATATTCTTACAAAAAATAAAGAAAAAACATCAAATAAACCCTTGTACTTTGGCCAATTCCTCAATTAAGCTCTTGTATTTTTGAATCACCCAATCAAATATGCGACTAACCAAAACCAACCAATCAGGCTTTTTAGCCGGTGGACACCCGGTTAGCCTGTTAATGGGTGACATGTAAAATTCCCCAAATTCCCATCCGTTAACTTGACCTAACCTTCCCCGGATTTAGAACAATAGCGAACGATTACATGAGTTAGTTAGAATGTGGGAGCTTAACCAAAGTGCTGCGAAGGAGAGGAAGGTTCATTGTTGGAACGTCGGAGTTCAAGCCCAGTGGTGTGTAGCCCTGGAAGGAACGTTGTTGGAACGCGGGAGTTAAATTGAAGTGGTGTGAAGCCCTGTAAGGTACGTTCTTGTAGTTGCCGCATTCAAATTGTGTGTAATTAATTGTGTTGTGGTCGTTCATGAAGTGCTTACAGTTTATATGAAGATTTTTGGTTGAATTATGGTTTAAGATTACATGAAGTGCTTAATGTTTGGTACAACTGAATTAGTTTGCAGTTCCGGTCATGTTGATGATACAACCCTAAACCTGAGCTTTTAGGTCTTAAAAGTAGTCTATTTATACTTACATGAATGTAATGGTAAAGTTCAATGAATTTCAATTATTGTTCTTATGTTTTATGTGTTAGTTAGTGACTTTTAATTTACACGTTCATGACATTACTTTGAAGTGAAATGCTGAATCTTTATTCTTATATTTGTAGAATGTTTGAGACATGCAGTAGAACTACTAGTACACCATGGGGGGTCAGCTGTGATTCAAAGAAGATGTATGTTGGAGGGGTTGTTGAGACAGTAGCTGCAGATCCTGATGTGATTAGTTATCCCCACTTGAAGAAGTTCTTAGAAGGTCAAAGCAATAGCTCCATCAGATGTATTTTCTTCAAAACACCAAGTGTTAATATGGAGTCCTTGCATGAGTTGTTTGATGATCAGACTGCACTGAACCTAATACAATTAGCTAGAAGTTGTGAAAAGTGTGAGATATATGTAGACCATGCACAAGATGAACTACACCCCCAAGGAGATGATGTTGAGGCCGAAAGTGAAGATCATGAACCAAATGGTGATGAGAATGACATTAATGATGACACAAATGTTGGTAGTGATGTCTCAGGTCATGAAAGTGATGTTGAGGAAGAACATCAAAGTGGTAGTTCTGAAGCAGACTATGAGGATGAAGAAGAAGAGGTGCTACATGATGTAGAAGTTCTGAACAATAATTCCACGCCAATGACAGATAATGTTTCAGAAATGGAAAATATGCAAACTCCTGAGCATGGGGTTGAGAATGACACTGAAGAAGAAACTACTGAATATGACTCATCTAACCCACCTAACTTGCATTCAGAGGGAAAAGATTTTTTTTTTTAATTAAATAGTAACAAGGGGAGTTTTAAGTTTGATTCAATTTAATTAATTTAACACTAAGATGAACGACTTATATGAGTTTAATTAACAGAGATGAAGACTTGGTTTTGCTTTTATCCACTTAATGAAATGTCCGTCGATTTCGGTTATATCTTTAACTATCTTCCTCTCGAATACTCAATCGAGGAGTATATCCAATTCATCGAGGGTAGTTATTAATATCGAGACGCATTCATTAATAAAACTTACTACCGAGTCGGGAATGTAGTTATGGTGACTGGTGGAAGAAACAGGGGACGTGTCGGAGTCATTAAGAGTAGGGAGAAGCATAAGGGTAGTTTTGAGACCATTCACATCCAGGATGCCCTTGGTCATGAGTTTGCCACCCGTTTGGGAAATGTCTTCACCATTGGCAAGGGTGCCAAGCCTTGGGTGTCTCTACCCAAGGGAAAAGGTATCAAGTTGACCATCATAGAAGAAGCCAAGAAGAGGCAAGCTCAGTCTGCAGCCACTGCTTGAAAAGTGCTACAGATAATGGGTTGGTCTATTGATTAGTATTTCGTTTGAAGGTTTTGGTAACTTAAGACACTGTTTTTATCTTATCTTGTGAAACGTATTCTATTTGCTTTTAGCAACACTTTTTGGCACCTGAATTTGAGCTGTTTTCTTATTGGCATTTTCTTTAATCTTATGTCTTGTCCTCTCTTAAATAAAATCTTTTTTGAAAATAATAATAATAATAATAATAATAATAATAATAATAATAATAATAATAATAATAATAATAATAATAATAATAATAATAATAATAATAATAATAATAATAATAATAATAATAATAATAATAATAATAATAATAATAATAATAATAATAATAATAATAATAATAATAATAATAATAATAATAATAATAATAATAATAATAATAAAACTTACTACCGAGTCAATATAGAACACGCGCCGTATATTAACCCAGAAGTAGCAATAAACTTAAGATGAAAACGATTGAGATTGATAACCTCAACACAAGCGGTTTATCGGTTTAATCAACATAATTAATTCCCCTTACATTATTAACCATGAGACGCATGCATTAATAATCCAAGTTTACTATAGTGAAAAGACCGAACGATTAACAAGCGTTTTCGTCGATCGATTCTAGTAATAATTAATATATGAAACAAAACTAGTTGATCTTTTAAGTAATGCTCAAAATATGAATATGAATTAATTAATATTCAAGGAAGAATATTCAAGAAAATAAATGTTACTATAACTAATGTCGAGATGTTAACTAATTGTCATCTTAGCAACACTCCCCAACATTAATATAGATATAGATTAAGGGAAGAATTGTTATTCAAGGAAGAAGATTAAAGAAAATAAGTCACAACTTATAATTCATTAAGCTTCAAAGTAGCAAAACCAAGATGTAAGAGTTTAGCGCCTCATTTGGAGACTACACATGATAGAAAATATAAAAAAAACACTAATCTAAACTGAGCTTAAGAATATATGTGAATTGGTGATTTTATTGTGAAGGAAAGAGGTGTATTTATAAACTTTTGGGAGCTGCAGGGTCTGTTACCCGATCGGGTATCTTAGGAAATTTCCCACAAAGTCACCTTTCTGGGCATACCCGATCGGGCATATGACATATCTTCACAAAATCTTGCGCCCACGTTCATTTGTTCTCGGATTTTATTTGGACAATCGAATCACGCAAATACCGGATCGAGTATTGCCTATACTCGATCGGGTACGTGAGCATTTTTTCCAAATCGAAATCTTTCTTGCCTCTTTGCACTTTCCTTGATCTTTTAAGGTTCAATCTTGCTTGATCCCTTGGATGATTTTTGACTTGTTTAGCTCAGAATAGTCCTAATCTAAACAAATTACAAATAATTATGAAAATAAAGTATTACACCAAAAGTGTGTAATTTCTATAACTAGAACTAATAAAATTAGTTAAAATACATACAATCGGAAATCACACGAATATCACTGTGTATAATAAAAGAGATATAGTCTTTGTTAAGAATGAGCCTATGAGAGTCCGACTAAAATGTGTCATTAATTGCCCTTTTGCTTCTACTGCTAGTTGGGAAGATAGGTTGAAGTGCTTTCAACTTAAAGTTTGGAATCATGACCATCTGTGTAACTTGAAGTTCAAGCTTAGAATAGTAAGTCAGAAATGGATTGTTGAGACCTATGAGGATAAGTTGACCGAGAATCCCTTCACGGGGGCCGCAGACCTAAAAAAATTGCTTAAATCTGAACATAAGTTGAATGTTTCCATTAGTATGGCTACTTGAGCTCTGAAAATAATGCAAGATAAAACCTAGTTTACTTTTAAGGACCAACTCAAGAAAGTTAGAAACTACGGAGATGAAATATTGAAGGTAATTTCTGGTAGTACAATGGTCATTAAGACAGATAGAGTAGTATCTTATGCTCTTATGGTTTTCCAACAAATTTACATGTGTTTTGGACCTTTGAAAAGGGGATTCTTGGAAGGGTGTAGGAAGGTGATAGGTTTGGATGGTTACTTCCTTAAAGGCCAGTTGAAGGGAGAGATTTTAAGTGTCGTCGGAAGAGATGCCAATAATCAGATGTATCCAATTGTTTGGGCAGTAGTAGAGATAGAAAATACTTCTTCATGGACTTGCTTTTTACAGCTTTTGAGGGAAGATCTCCAGATGACAAACCCGGCTGAATGGACCATTATTAGTGACCAACAACAAGTAGGTGTACCGACTTTCATATTAGTCAATGCTTTCATAACTTGCATTGCATTTATACTCATTTTGAATTACTTGATGCATGTAGGGTGTGTCCAATGTGATCGCCAGAGTTCTCCATGAAGATGAGCACAGGAACTGAGCCAGGCATATACATGCCAACTTGGCCAAAAATCGCAGGGGAATGGTGCTGAAGAAATTGTTCTGGAAATGTGCCAAGTCCATTTCAGAATGCCAATTGGAGTCATCTTTGAATGAGTTAGATAAGCTTGACCTAGAAGCCGGTGCATATTTGCGCAAGTATCCATTCAAACTGTTGTACAAGGCTTACTTTATGACCAAGGTAAAATGTGATACAGTGGATAACAATTTATCTAAGCCTAATTCTTTTAAAAAAACCATAATTTTTCTATAACTCTTATAACTTTTTTATTTTTGGGAAAATGGAAACTAATAATCCAACCTTTTAGCGGTCTTCTTTTAATAGTCCGACCTTTGCGTTATTCATGAATAATCCAACCTTTGCACCTCATCTTCATTCATTGGTCCCTGACCGGTAGATGACCTGCTATTCCGAGTTATTTTCTTATCTTTGCAAACTATTATACCATAAATTCCACCTTTCACAAAGATAATATTTTACAAAGATAAGAAAATAACTCGGAATAGCATGTCATCAACCGGTCAGGGACCAGTGAATGAAGATGGGGTGCAAAGGTTAGATTATTCATGAATAACGAAAAGGTGGGACTATTAAAAGAAGACCGCTAAAAGGTTGGATTA